TTCCACGATAAAATATTACAAGATTCAAGAATACTTTCGAAAATGGTCTTATATTAGATTTAAAAAGAGAAAAAAAATTTAAACCGAAGTATTTTTATTTCTTTTAAGTCTCTTAATCCTATCAATCTTTCAATCTTAAAAATTCCAAAATATATATATTATGTAAAATATAATTGATATAATCATGTAAAATATAATATTAAAATTAATATTAAAATGATGTTCGAAAATGACTACTTATTTCGTAACTTGTTAATCTAGACTTTGTTCATAAAAGACTCGCTCTAGAATAAATAAGTATCTGCAATCTATGTTTAAAACACGTCTAACATCTCATTCAGGCGACAAAAATTATTGAGTATGGGAGAAAATAGCCGTCTATTAGTCAAGACGAAGCGTATGATTTAAGACGCACGATGATTATATCCATGCTTCTCGCATAAAACGGAACAGAAACATTTCTCGCATGCTCCGGGGAGCACATACTTTACACAAGTTTGTCTACATTCAACAATGCAAATTTGTCTTCAATTAAAATTAAAAAATGATATCAGAAGAATCAAATTGCCTAAAAAATTTTAACAAATTATGCGGTTGTTAAATTATATAACGTCAATTAAGAGCTTAAAAAATATAATAATATGTAGTAAAACTATAGTTTGCTTAATTTATAGTGAAACTAAAATTTTAATAAATTTTAATAAAACTACTATAAAAAAATTTTTAAAATACTAAAATTTTAATAAAATTATAAATAAAGAATTAATTGAATAAAAATATTTAATGTTCGGAAGATTGTGTTAATCTTCATAACAAATTCATTTTTCTTTCTTATCATTCTTTTTTTAATTTTTAAACATAATCTTTTTACAATATTTCTTCGTAATGTCTTTATTTCTTTTTTTTTTTAATTGCATTGTTACATAAGTCTGATATTATTTTGTGTGACATCAAATATTATAATATGACGTACGTGCGCGTGTTTATACGATATATTGGATCTCATTTATATTTGACATAAAAAAAGATATTCGTGCGGCGATTCGATAGCACTTTGATAATCTCGCTTAATATCGCTAGAGTAATCAGTTTATTACAGCATCGATATATGGGCGAGCTGGCGCCAACTTGGCGTTTGTTCGCGCGACGCAAGTAACATAACACCAAAACTACATAAAACAACTGCAATATAGTATAGATATTAAGCAACATTCAATATATTTATAAATGATTAAAAATCGAAATAATTAATCGAAATTCTTTGAGATTCTTTAAGAAATGTTATTATCCTCACACGCTGTCTTCAATCTTCTAACAATAATAGCGAATGGTACCATCTTCGCGAGGTTGTTACCTTCATAACTTTGCATAGCAAATGCGCGAGATAAGATTATTATTCTGCAAAGGTTATCAACGCCGGAGGAACGAAAGCAAACATCAGAAACATGCAATTTAATGCCAAAATATTTAGCAGTGTAATAAAAGAGGTGCTACAAAAATTTTCTCCATAATTTTCTAATTTTCTTCACTTTTAAATCCTTGATTTTCAGAATAATTTAATTTTTGTAGTATTGCAGAGATAAAAAAAATATTTCTTAAAAGCAATTTTAAATAAAACACGTAGAAAAAATTTTAATTTAAACTTGTATCAACAGATATTTTCATTTTAACTTTTTATGTCTATTTCTTTAAATATCAAAAATATAATACATGCCTCGATAATATGCCTTTCAAATTTCTATATATATTTCTATTTCTAAATTTATATTCTTTCTTATATTTCTAAAGTTATATTCTTTCTTACACATATACATACGTTTTGCAAGAAAATTTGATGTAAAATCGATGCCGCATTTTTAGCACTTCCATTCATGAGATTCTATCCGATAATTTCGCAAGTATATCGTATATCAAAAGTCAAAGTGGTATTCGTCTATCGTCTATCGTATAATTTAGTAATGATGGTTTTTACGAGGCGTTATATGCCCATCCCGATTCATTCATTTCATCGAAAGATCCACGATAACGCTATCATCGCGTTATTTTGATAAAACGTTCGTATATATAAAGCACTAGATTATTTCCGAATTATTATACATGCATATTTGACATTCAAAAAAGCAGATAGAAGAGCAAGATAAAAATTGAAGTGGAACACGAAAAAATACATGTGTAGATGCACATATGTATAAATAAATAATTTGCTCAAGGAGAATAATTATAAATAACTGTCCTAATAAATGTGTGTTGTGTGTGTATACGATTATATACTATATATGTCTCATATGTAAATATAAATGTATAATGCAATATCGTATTAATTATTTCTTATATAATCCTACTATATTATATGTTACATATTATTAATTATAATATACTATATAATAATAATTTTACAAGAAATAATTATGTGCATTATACAATTACATATTATTAATTATAATAAATGTATTTCACTCTCTTTTTATCTCTACGATTTATTCATTTTAGATAAAAGTTCTAATGAAAAGACATTGATTAGCCCAATCAAGTATCCGACACATTCATCTTATCTTATGTATTTGATATTTAAATGGAGGACCATGCGTAGTTTGCGAAATTGAAAACTTTATCATATGTTATATCAATATGAAATAAACATACGAATGATAGGCTCTCTCTCTCACACACACACACACACACACACACAAATAAATTATTTTCGGATGCTCTAAATTCCGAAATAATTTATTCCGGGCTAACTACACACAAATCACGCGGCTGCCACTCTTTCTTTCGTTCGTTCATCCGTTCATTGCAACTACGTGTATCTTGTAAATGCGATAATAGATAATCAACTTCAAAGACGCGCATAGACATGGACGATTGCGCATTCATATTCATGAGTGGAGTACACAATATACAAGAGTGCCTCGTCCCACTTCTCTTTAGCGAGCATTAGTTTGTGGAAAGAACTCGCTCGAAAGTTCAGAGACAATGAAAGATAAATGTAAGATAAAAAGGGAAAAAATCAATAATATAATTTATATGTATAGAATGTAAAATACATAAATTTATATAATAGTTACAAAAAATAACTAATAATAATCCTTATAATTCCTTATAAAATAATTTTCTTCAAAAACTAAATTTTTGATCCAAATCATAAATTGGTATATTTAATTATTGATATTCGTTACAAAATGTAAAAATAACTTTCATTGCGGAAAATATAGTTTTCAATACAAGACTCAAATATTAATCATATAATTGGAAAATTTTTTCTTATAAAGATAAAGTTAGAAAAATAAAAAGTTCAAATAAACGTAGATTTTTATAATTAATATTTTATATGCGTTCTTTTTCGAAATTGTAGTTTGTATTCTAGTATGTGTGATAATAAAATAATGACATTATATCATTATAAAAGAGCAATATTATGATAACATGTTAGAGAATACATTTTTTCTATCTTATAGAGATAATTTTCAAATCATCTTAAATCCATATTTTAAAAAAAGAAATGCTTCAAGTAAACTTCATACGGATGTAATAAATTGTTGAAGTATTATACAAAAATTCATTAAAAAAAGAATTTACGACAATTTCGGAAAAACTTCTTCAATTATAATGATGAACAAATAACATCACGACATGTCTAAAAAACTAATTTTTTGCAAAAATTGGATTAATATGAACCATACCTAAAAAATGAAACAAACAAATTTTTAAAATCCTACTCTTCAAATATTTTCTTAGCGAATAGAAGCGAGTATACACAAGATGTGTGATTAACGTGTGTTCTCTCACGAGCTCTTGTGGCAACATTGCAACTATGATGGCAGCGAAGTTCTACTTTGTTGCGTCGTGACCTTGAACAATTGCAAACTCGCGACGATAAAACCCACGTAAATCAATCGCAGTTGCGATCGATCTATTTGGCAACGTCAAAGTACTTCAACTTGACTTTTCGCGATTTAAATATGCAAATTCCGCTCGAAAAACTCTTCTTGAAAAAAATTTATTATTTCGCACAAAAACAAGTTGCAAAAAAGTACAACCTATACGAGCGATCTCGAGAGCGTTATGTCAATCCAATACGTAATGACTTTATCAAATGTATAACATCAAGACGTAATATATCGCCGCTATGTTTCTCAGGTTACGATATATCGAATGCAATTCTGTGATCTCGATATCTCGCGCGTAGATTTGAAATGACTGTTGTGCCTTTCTATCATTTATAATAATTGCGGTTAGTATTTAATTGCTTAATTATTTATTTATACTGACAATTTTCTAATAATAATATAATTTGTTGATATAATATAAATTGGAAATTTTCCAAATTCTCTTCTTTCAATTGCATTTTTAGTTTCCTCTTATTTTTGTTTTTATATATATTTAATTTTAACTGCGAGAATGTAAAATTATACAGTTAAAAAGATGGATCTTTTACCGATCAATCACTATTTTCAATATATTACAATGTTATTCAATAACACAACACAAAAACGCACTTTTATCGAAGGACAAACTCTAGATTTATTTTATTTTCACTTAGGCGTTCTGTATTAAAGGCAAAATAACTTGAAGCTTCGAAGAAAGAAGAAAGAATTGTAGAAAATGCAATTAAATAAAAACGAATGTATTCTCTTCTTCAGATCGCGCGACGTTATCGAATGCGCGCGCTTCGGCGAGTTGTCGCTTCGCGTGCGCAACGTCACGTCGTACAATGCGCATTTCACACCATTCTGACCGTGCGCTCTCGCCCGAAATTTGCATCTCACCAGAAATCGCGAAGCGACAATTCGGCAATCGATCTGCCAGTTTCAGACGCGATCGCGTAGCCGTACGAACCGAGAATAGCCGAACGAGGCGCGTTTATTGCAAATACAAATATTTATTACGTAAACGAAACACGTGCTCTGAATTTGCCATGACAGCACCCAACTATTTATCTTCTGAGTGCTCCGATTTTTTCAAGTCATTTTTTCTCGCGATGCCGACTTTGCGCTTACCTTTAGCAGCGTCCCGTGTCCTAGTGCCGTCCACACTCCGCGCACTGCGCACGCACCAATTTCTCCGTCCGTTCGTAATCCACCAGTCCTCTTTCGTCGGCCGCCGGCGCACGACTGTGGATAATTCGCGGTCGCGACCGGCCTAGATATATACCGGCTATATTTAGCCCGCGCCGTCACCGCGTCGCGCGCTGATTGGCCGGCGGTGACGTTGCGCCTGGCCGCGATTGGCCGCGCGAATCTCGCGAATACGCGCCGGCGGACTCCGCCGCGGCTGGCTCGGCTGGGCGCGACTCCACGTCCGCGACATTTGTTGACATGAAACTGTCAGGGAGAGTACGCGCTCCGCTCCCTCGCCGCACCACGCCGGTATATTCAATCCGCGTGCGTGTCGCGCTTCTTAGTAGGCACTCCTAGACTATTCAATACTGCCAGAAACATCGATCTCCTGGCGACACACAAAATTTCTTTTGTTTAATGTCGATTAAATTGAAAACGAAGAGAGAAAGAGTACAAAAAAAGAGAAAAGTTGTATATAACCTCTATCCTAATTAGCGAAATTAAAGCTCGCTTATAAAAGATAGCTTTATTATTAATAATTAATATAAAATGCAATTACCTTCACATAGGAAATAGATTTTGAAATAATGGTGGCAACTATGTCACAAGAAAATTAAATTACAATATGTTAAATTAAAGTATGACTAAGCGACACAAAATTGACTAAAATTCGCCGATGCGAGTGAATAAAGGCGCGATTAAAGTTGCTAAATTCATATCATTAATTCGAAATACCAACTTATAAAAATTGAATAAACTAATATTATTAAATAAATCAATATTACCAATATTAAAAATGTTACCAAATTAAAAAGATATATTGATTCTTTAATTTTCTTATCATGAAACATAAATAAGATAGACAGATATATAAATGAACACACAAAATATTTTAAAAATACATATAGTACATTTTTGCGAGATGAAATATACAAATATCTAACACAATTTTAGCGATATTATATAAATAATTTCTGCGATGAAATATAAACATTAAACGGATAGATAGAAAGAAACATTGATATTTTCGATTCTTTTCAAGAAAAAGAATTCCATATTTTTTTTTTTTTTATAAAAGTAATAATCAATAGAAACTATTTAAAAAGTTTTTTACTAATTAATAATTTTGTTAATATTTAAGATTATTCTAACCACAATTACCTGCAATTCTGTCTTTTTATTAATCTTTTTTTAATAATCTCCATGTGATAGTTAATTTTTTCTACAATTGCGACGGAGATTTGGGTCGATGCTGAAATTGGATCGATGCGACCATCGATCACAGGTGTGCGACAGGATGAACAACAGATTTAGCATGTGATCAGGTTAGTGGGTGGGTGAGATTTATGGCGAATAGAAGCGCGACGGTAATGAACGATTATTATTACCGCGGCCTACCGCGTCTATTAATTTACTCGCGGTAGGCTTTCGAAAAGCCTTGAGAGGTGCTGCTTTGCCTCAGTGTCCTGCCCTATACTCGCTATTACTCTATGAAATCACACCGTTACCCGGCAATACTGCATTATGCGAAAATCGTACGCTAAAATTAGTCACAGACGATTATTACGCGCGCCGACACATAAAACGTGCCACGCCGGGAGAACAGTGAGAGGGAGATTTGCCGATAAATGATTTTAAATCTGCCGAAGGATCTTTAAAAACACGAAGAAATTCTTAATTATTTATTCCTAAAGCGTAATTTGAAATCGCGGAATAAATTGATTTTTTTTCCATAAATTAATTTTTTTTCCATTGCATATGTTTTAATGTAATCTTTGCAAGAACAAAAAATTGCAATGTTAACAAATAATATAAATTTTCATTAATTATTAATAAATCTCATATATATTAATGAATTTTAAGAGAAGATTCAGTTATTAATTATCATTTTTAAGCTTAAAGAAATTATACTTTAATTCTAAGCAAACTTCGCCGAAATTTGATGTGGAGTTCTAAATGTCGGTTCTAAAATCTCTAAAATTTTGGACACGTTTGAAAAAACTGTCGCACTTTACGCCGATACGATCTTCTCTCGATGAAGATATGCAAAGTATATTGAGTAATAAAGCTGGGTGGCGCATGGTTTACGTGTCTATCTGTCATCGAGTACGTTTTTCTGCTCTTAGTCAGACCATGTGTCGATATACTCCATCATACAAATTATGCATGATCTAACCGAATTATCTTCCATATAAAATGGCAATATAAATTACTAAAGACTCTACAAATATTCAAGTCCATAAGTCGACATGTTTGACATAATTTATCACTGACATTACTATCACAAACAATTTTCATTTTAAATTAAAATAATTTCTATATTTATTTCTATTATGCTTGCTTTTAGAATCTTTTTATATTTATATTTTTTAATTTTCTATGCAATATTTATGTCTACGTGAAATATATATTTATATGATAACATAATTATAAAATGTCCATCATTTCGTATTAAATATACATACGTGATTATTTTCTTTGCATAATCTTCATGAGATTGTTTATAACCTTTTTGTACTGATTTGAATATGATACTGATTTCAAAGCCATCTACATGTTTGAAATTTTATGGTGCGGAATTCAATCGCAGTCGCCATCTCTCGTGATGCGAGGAAAACACGGAACGTGAAGAAAATATGGCGGCCCGCAAGGTTGTTGAGAGATGTTTCGTGACAGTTTCAAATATTACAAAAGCCGAAATCCCGCACCCGATCTCGACGATGTGATCGACCTTGAAAGTCCAGAGCATGTTAGAGTATGTTAATATTAAATTGATATGTTCTTTCGATGATTAATGACGAATGTTATTTTAGGTTAGGAAAATAGAGGCAAATGTAAGTGATAAACAGACCGAAGATAATTTCGGTTTGACATCAGCAGAGAAATGGACGATTTATGAATTGCTAAACATCCCCGGTGCGTAAATTTCATATCGTATTACAAGTAAAATTATTCCTATATAATGTACATAGTAGTAGTAGTGTTTTGTCAAACATTAATATGTGAACCTTGATTAAAATCTTCCAAGTAACAATATTATCTTTTCTCATAAAATATTATAATTAATATTTAATATTTTATATCCCTGTATTTTTTTTTGTTATTTTAGGACTTATCTTTATTCAGAATCCATTTACACCAAATGGCCAACGATATTGGATCACAAAATGTTTGAAAGATTATTCTAAGGAACCATACAAATTAAATATAGATGCTCATAATATTTTAGCTAATGAAACATGGTGGGAGATCTGTTTTCAGTAAGAACAATTATAAAATTAAATTTTATTTATATTAATACTAATATCTTTATTTATCAATTAATCAATAATATTGACCTGATATTGATTAAATGCACAAATATGTGAAAAAAATTTATATTGACATCTAGATTGGTATTTAATTACTTTAATTTGTTATCAGGATGTCGGAAAGAGATAAAATTCTCTTACCTAAATTACGTTGGGCAACATTGGGATATCATCATAATTGGGATACAAAATTATACTCCGAAAGCTCAAAGAGCGACATGCCAATAGAATTATCTGGTTTAACATCCATTTTAGCGAGAACATTAGGTTTCTCGGACTTTAAAGCAGAAGCAGCAATTGTGAATTACTACCGAATGAATTCAACTTTGGCGGGACATACAGATCATTCGGAGATGAATATAACAGCACCACTTTTCTCTATAAGTTTCGGACAGACTGCAATTTTTCTGATTGGTGGACCAAAACAGGAAGATCCAGCTAATGCGATCTTTCTGCGAAGTGGAGATGTAATAATAATGTCGGGAAATTCTCGTTTGAGGTATCACGGAGTGCCAAAAATTTTATCGGCGTCCAAGACACCGTGGAACGATAATTGCGAGAACAGTTGCGAAAATTGTACATACAGTTACGATGACTGGCGCAAAGCGCGTACTTACATCGCCGAAGCTCGGATTAATATAAATATACGACAAGTCCTGGAACCTGGACAAATTGTATTATATTGAACCGCATTGTATTTTTATGTACAGAAATATATCAAAATATATTTATCACGAAAAATATTTTTATCAAAAATGTCAGATATTTCTCTGCTTTATTTATTTTTAGCTATCATTTTGTATATTTATTATAATGAGATTATATGCGTATTAAATTATATTAATTAGTATTATCTGTTAAAGGAAATTATTTGTTAAATTAAACTTAAATGCATTTTACATCAATAATGCATATACGTATCTCTTGCAATTAAAATTATACAATCATTTTTTTTTTATTTTTGATTTTATATATATATGTATATCGCAATAATAAGTTATACATATTAAAATTCATTTATATTTTTAGTATTATTTATTTAATTATTTTTTATTGATTTTTATTCTTATTTATATTTCTTTAACATCGATAATATATTGTTAAAAAGACAGTCTTATGGAAACTTGCATACTTTAAAAAATCCACTGTACACTAATGTTTTCTCTGTAAATATAATTAAGCCAAAGTAAAAGAAATAATAAGCATATTTGTATTATATGCATATTATATTTTTTATCATATAATATTTTGTTATTATTTTATTATGTTCCACATTTTTTATTATAGGTATAAAGAACTTTCATTATCGACATGTTAATACTTGTTATTCGTAATGCAATATCAAAACGGTTAGTAATGTAATCGTTCTTTAATTTTTTAAATATTATTTGAACATTTTCTTTGGATCGAGCCCACATGACAATAATTTATCCATGACCGTTGATAGCATTTATAATTGCGCGCCGTTAGAGAAACACGACAGTCAAGACTTCCGGTCAGCTCGAGTCAGCTGATCAATCCCGTTCCTGCTTGCTGCTGCACAGTAGTCGAGAGAATGTCAGGCAAAGATAAATTACCAATTTTCCCCTCTAGGGGGTAAGTATTTTATTTTATTAAATTAATTATCATGGAAATTCAACAATTCCATTCATATGTCGTGTATTGTCATTTGTTCTCGAGTAAAATTTCATTGTAAAACATACTGAAATAGTGGGTGTAACCCCGTCTTCAATTGTTAAAACCTTTAAATATTTATTTAAGGAATTTATTTATAATTATTAAATACTATTTAAACATTTTGATTATCTTTTATTTCATCACAAAATTTTAAATTTTGTTTTATTCCTAAAGAATATTGTAACCACATTTGTTTATTATATGCTACATTTTAAGATGTTTAAGTGTGTGAATATATATTTTCAATTTGTTCAATCTTGTAAAATGTTTCTTTTATGTATGAAATTTAATTGATAAATTTTTTTTTTTTTAACATTAATAGCATTATAAATATTTAATAATATGTTGCAATATTTATGAATAGTAACAATCTAATATATTTTAAGCATATAACAATAATGTATTGTTATTAAATTATATATTTGTTATTTTATTATATCTATTCCAGTCATTCCATTGTTATTTAATTATATATTTGTATTCTAGGGCCCAGATGTTGATGAAATCTCGCTTACAAGGAGCGCAAAAAGGACATGGTTTACTAAAGAAAAAGGCAGATGCATTGCAAATGCGTTTTAGGATGATCTTGGGGAAAATTATAGAAGTATAAAATTAATTTGATTAATTTTATCTTTCTATATTATTTTAATATTTCTTATATTGTATTAGTATTTCTATATTTTTATTCTTTTATTTTTATTTTATTGCATCCTATTATTATTTTTATTTGTATTTGTTATCTTTTTCTGCATCTCTATTTTTTTTCTTTTTTAGACCAAAACTTTGATGGGTGAAGTAATGAAGGAAGCTGCTTTTTCATTGGCAGAAGCAAAGTTTGCTACAGGAGACTTCAATCAGGTGGTTTTGCAAAATGTGACGAAAGCACAGATCAAAATTCGTTCCAAGAAGGATAATGTTGCCGGCGTAAATCTACCGATATTCGAATCCTATCAGGATGGAACTGATACTTATGAATTGGCGGGTCTGGCAAGAGGTGGTCAACAATTAGCCAAACTAAAGAAAAATTATCAACGGGCAGTGAAATTGCTGGTAGAATTGGCATCTTTGCAAACGAGTTTTGTCACTCTGGACGAAGTTATCAAGATCACGAATCGGCGTGTTAATGCTATCGAACACGTTATCATCCCTCGAATTGAGAGAACTCTAGCCTATATTATTTCGGAGCTTGACGAACTTGAAAGAGAAGAGTTCTATCGTCTAAAAAAGATTCAAGATAAGAAGAAGATCGCTAAGGCAAAGGTAATATACCATTAATTAATTTATTCTCAATTAATAATTATACATTACCTAAAATCTTAATTGATTGTAGCTTGAAGCGGAAAGAGCAGTACTTATTGCAGCTGGGCATGATTTAGAAGCTACAAATCTGCTCGACGAGAGTGACGATGATGTGCTGTTTTAAATACTGTAAATACATTAAAAATGTTAAGATGTTAATAATCCCAAAAAGATGAAAAGAAACTCTTTTCTTCCCATTTAAAATTTATTATGATTTTACATTATGGCACAATGATAGTCTTATTTGTATACATATTTTAGAAAATATTATTGGGAGCTTTTTTCCTTGTAATTTTGAGAAAACAACTTCTTTGAACTTACTGTTTTTAACTCTCAAAAATTTTAGAGAATATGTTACAATAATAATTTATAAAATAAGCAATTATGTATACAATATATATACAATAGCAATATTATTTTTTAGAAATATTTTAATTCTATATATTGCAAGTTATTCTATCATCATCCAAATCATTTCCAGTTTGTATGATGTGAATACAATTTAATTCTCTATTGAGATATTAGAGATATATAATAAATATATGTATATATTCCTTACTGTATCATTTATCTCCAATCATTATATATCTACTTTATTATTTTCTTCAAGTTCTTTAAAATTTTTAGAAAAACATATCAATTGTATCAGGAAAAAGTACATATATTATTGAAATGTAAATCTTGCTCATACACATGTTTTATATCTCAATTTAGTGATATTAATTAGTAAAATATGTCTTATTAATTACAATTTGCAGATGAAATCTGATAAATACTAAAGATTATTTCCAAGTGAAATCAATAATTGATAATTTTGATTAAAATTGAAATTTGTTACAAACATTTACAAATAATTTTTACATACAATTGAAATTCAATAAGTGAAAATAATTTCTGCAAAAATATAAAAAATCATTTAATAATATCTAATTTACGCAACAGAGTTTTAGTTTCAGGTAGTATCAGATAGCAGAAAGAGGGAAGAATATAAGATTAATCTTAATCTTTCAATTACATTTGCATTAATTTCGTTAAATTAATTTAACGAATTTATGTAGCACGATCGACGTGTACGACTGACCTAGTGTATTCGTCAGTGAATTGGGTCGATCAATATTATATAGGAGGAGGGAAAAAGGGGCGGTTTTCCTATATGAGAGGTGACCATTCTTCTTCACTAAGGGGAGATGTTCGCCCAGCCGAACTCCCAGTATATGTTTCCAGTGCGCGTTGGAAAATTCGTCCGAGACATGCCGTCATCTTCTGGCGAGGATTGCTTGACTGTTATGGAGGTACCAGAGAATCGCTATGAAGAGGCAATTCATCACTTGAGATGGAATTTCTTCGCCGATGAACCACTCAACAATGCTGTAGGACTCTGCGCGAAGGGGGAATCCCAACGTGAGCTCGAGCAGCACTGTCTGTTTACCTTGAAACAGGGTTATTCCAGGATGTTAGTGAATTCAAAGGGAGTGGTGAGTAATAATCCCTTATATTATGAAATACATTATTTTATTCAACTCTTTTACATACACATTATTTATTTTGGAATTAATTACTTATATTTTCACTTTTATTTTTATTTTTTAATAATCTGATATTTTTTATATAATTAATAATTATATTATTTATAATTGTATAAAAATAGTTATAATTATTTTTTTTGTCTATCTGTCTTTGATAAATATTTTCTTCATTATAATCTTCTCACAGGTACTAATTCTTCATTTTTTATTATTTATTTATTAATAAATTATAATTTTAATACAAATCTAATAATTGATGAAACCTTGTGATTAATTTAATAGTATCGAAATAATAATCACATCACTCTTTTTGTTCATTATATTACTCTATTCATAAAACTATTTTCATCATTTTTATTTTATTTGTTTATTAATTTATAACATTTTATTTTCATAATATCAAGTTTCAATATCGTCACAATGGATGTGTATTATTATCCAAAATCACTTTTATTATATAGATAGTAGGGATGGCACTAAACGGCACTTTGAAGAAGGGTGAGCGCGAAGAGGCGGAACGGCGCCTCGCCGAGTTAAATGACGAAAAATTCAAAACGATCTTTGGACTGCTCTATAAGATAAACGACAAGATTGATCTGTTCACCAAATACAACGTAGATGAGTTGTTTGAGTGCCGGATTCTTAGCGTCGATGAAAACTACCGTGGCAAGGGTTTGGCCAGCCTTCTTATGGCCGATAGCATAAAAATTGCCAAAGACGCTGGTTTTAAGGTATATTAATGTCTATTTTAATTTATTTTTCTTCTTAGTTTATTAATTTGCATAAATATAAATTTGTCTATATATTTACACAATGTATAATATGAAAATTGAATCTAATTTATTCTCTATTTGTTTAATTTCACCTTCTGCATATATGTAAAAATTACTATGATAAAAATTACTCTCTAATTCTCTTTGCAAAAAAAATAAAATAAGATAAATATAAATAATGTAAAATATATAAGTGTAACATATTCCTGCGATATTTACAAAGAGTTTGGAAAAAACATTATCAAAGTGGCGATATATTTATGCAGTTATTTTATCGATTTTACATGTTATAAAGAGAGGATATCATTTTTATTTTATTAATTTAAGATCGTTGCGTTGGTGTAATCCCTGCTCTACATATACACCGTACACTTTTCTTTTGTTTCAGCATGCTCTTCAGTTAATATGCATGCATGGGATGATTTTCGTTTATTTCTCCACAAGATGTATATGTATATAATTACAATGCATGTTACTCGTTTTTTTAAAAGGTACTTTACACGCAATTCCTTGCATGGAAGCAGAAAGCAGGTTAATATGATAAATAACAATTTGATTTGAATTACTAAATAATATAATGAATAAAGCAATCTGTATATACAATATGTGAAAAAATTTATTTGCTATTATTTTTTCAAAAAATTCGATAAAATTAAAATATTAATTATATTGAGTAAAAATAATATATAGTAAATTTGAAGATATCTCGACTGGAATTTTAGAAACATGACAATAAATAAATGAAAAGTAAATATAAAATTATATAAAATTAATCAATAGCCAATATTAATTATGATTATTATTATTTCTATATATTACTTTTATTATTTTTTAATACTGTTTGGTTTTTAAAATTTTCAAATAAAAAAAAATAATAGATTTAGTCATTATATTATTCATTCAATTGGAAACGAAATATTACACAATTTTAAAATATTATTTATCAAAACAATTACTATTAAATTTGATACATTTCTTCTATTTAGAAATCTTTATAATTCTTTTTAAAAAAAGACTATATATATATTTAATTTTAAGTAGAATTTATGTAATAAAGAAATGATAAATATCTTGTGCAAGTTATATATTGCATTAGATATGTACTGTAGCATTTACAAAGAGTAAAATATTTTCTTATCTTGTTATATTGGATATGTAATATCTATTGCACAGGTATGCAAAGCCGACGCAACCGGCGTATATTCACAAAGGGTCTGCCTGAAACATGGCTTCCAAATAGAAGCGGAGATACCGTACGCAGAATTGGATAAATCTATTAGGCCAGCGCCACCTCATCAAGCGTTAAAACTGATGGTGAAATTGTTAGATTAAAAATAAAAAAAAGAAAGTCGCTCTCTCAGTAGAGTTTAATTAAATTAAAAGTTAAATCATCAACACGAAAGCGCAAAGCGCAAAGTAGATATGTGTATCGTCGTCGTGTCGTGACAATAACAGCTCTGTTAATGTATGTCTCAGTATCGCGAATGCGAGATACGTGATGCTGTCTCATAAAATATTTACTTTATTGTTAGCAAAAGAAACAAGGAAACGCGTAGTACATGTCGAACCATTTCAAATGATATCCGGTATTACTGCCCCTCCGTACATGTTCCGAAATCATTAAAGGAAAAAAGAGAAGGAAGAGAACATCTAATTTAATTAAATTGAAAAAAATCGATATAATCGAAAAAGTCACGATTGTCTCGCAAATCGCATTTGGACTTTTTGTTTCCGCCAATCGCTCCAATCTGGCGAAAAATCGGAGATATACGAAATATTTACAGACTCGCTGTTTAATTCATATTTACATATTTAACACATTGATTGTCATGCAATCTGTATACGAGTAGTATGTACATTTTACCACATAAAAAACTTTTATTTTTATATTATTAACTCTTTATTTTATTATCGCGCTAGGACTCGTACGTAAATGTGACGTGAGGATTTTAGTAAATAAGCGTGACAGTCAAAGTGTTAGAGCAAACTTATCAATATAATTAAATCTAATTTAATAGTAAATACATATACAAAATAAGAATCTTCTAAAAGGATTGTTGTTGCTTCTCTCACAATTTTGATACCTTTAAAAAGACAAAACAATTTTACATTACATATTCGGTTCTACACTGATGATATTACATACGCATCTTGTAATTATTTATTTTTTCGTAACTAATTAAAGGAAAAAATAAAAAGATCGAAATGTTAAAAGGGATCTTACAAAGATATTTAAAGCTTGAAAAGAGGATATCAATAATCGCTCGTGCAGCAAAGTATTACTCTAATAATAGAAAGTAAGAAAAAAAAGAAAGTCGCAAAGAGTCAAACATTGTTCTATCTTTATATATGTCGTAATTCGCCAATGTCGCCATGTGAGAAATGGTCCATAAAATATATAAGGTCTAGTTATATCTTCTTCTTCTCTCTTTCTCTCATGTAAAATGCAATGGTGCAGATTGTTTTATAACTTGTATATTTACTATATTCTATCGAAAGCGACGATATTCGGTCGCAATTCGAAGTTGTTATTCTGGATTATAATAAACGGGTCCATATAAATTTTTAAAAAAGTTATACGAGAAGAGAGGAAAATAAAAGATATTTTTATCGATGTCACATGTTGCAAAAGAATATATATATATATAAAGTATATGCGAGTTATTTTGTAAGAATGTCTGCCAAATGTGAATTATAACGCGATTTATAATGATTTGTATTGCGTAATATGTATCCTTTAAAGAGAATAATAAATTTCAATTTTTAGGAATTGAATTCATGACTGTAAAATACTCAAGTTTGAACCTATAAACTTAAATTAATTATTTTTATAGGTAAATATAATTTTATATACAAACATTTAGTTCCATCAAATTGGATTTTATTTCATTGTTTTTTACATCGATCTTGTAACTTGTTGTTAAAATATGTCTAGAACATTTTTAATAATTCGCAGAACATATCTGATATACAATAAAGAAATGTATTCTCTCTTCTTTCTTTTTTTTAGGGGCCAAAATATGCATTAGAGTTTCTAAAAAAGATATTATTTCGATAATGCAAATAATGATGAATTAATGAATCTAGAAGTTTGTTTGTCTCCTAAAATGTTTTTGCAATTTGTTTTGCTTGAATTGCAGTTGTGTTGAATACTTTGTTTGGACTCTCTGCAAGTATCGAACATCCCGAATTCTTCTCTGGGTAGCTTCCACCTGCATTTCCGAATCGCCGAGTGCTTTGTACTGTAGCAATAACTTGTGTAATTTGTCTTCGCTATTCTTAGTTTTTGTGACTGGTTCGAGGCTCAGATTTTGCTTATAATAGCGCACTAAGGCACGATGGCCTACTATCTTGCCGGATGGTAATTTCAATTCGTAACCTTCATCATCCAAAACTGCTGACCGTTTCGGCGGTTCCGTATCTGGATCGACATCTTTAGCATCTGGATAGCTGGATGAATAATCATAGAACTGCATATATTCAAGTAGCGTTTCTCCTTCATACAACATCATGCAATGGCCCTTATCAATCATATGTGACCTCACTGCTTCTACGCTTTGTAATTCTCTTCCTATAAAAATATATAACAATTTTAGACATTGATTTAAAATTAAATTTTAATTAACATTTTTTTAAATATAAGTCAGTCTTATTTTATTTTTCTCTGAATCTTAATTATAATTAAATTTAATTTTAAAAATATACAAAGTTAATATAGTTATAAAAAGAAGTTATATAGAAATTGCACAAAAAGATATTTTTAGCAATTTTTGAAACAGATTTAAAAGTCAATAAATTTGATTTTTAGAAATCTTTAACTTTATTTCTAGAAAATAAATTTTTTTAGATATTAAATGCATTTCAAAAATTATTAAAAAGAAATTTCACTAAACATAATACAGATAAAATGTATTAATTAGATTGTACATAATACAATGTACAATCATAATTCATTTATTTATAAAATTAATTTTTACATTTTAATTAATAATTGAAATTTAACTTTATTGGAGAATCCTTGCAGCACAATATAAAACATAATAAAAAAATTAAAAATAATTGAACCTAATTGAAATACAATAAAAATAATTCATTTACCTGAATTGTTGCACCAGATACATTTGTACTCGCTGTATATTTTCTGGCCTAAATATAGTAATAAACCTTTTTGGTCAATACAGTATTCAAGGTCAGGTAAAAAGAATGAGTGTTTCACCATCATGTGTTTTAAATTACGTGTTACAGATCTACTATGATGATCACAAAACAAGCAATCATTGCGCTCAATAGGATTTTCTAAGTCATCAAGCCATTCATTTGAATTCAAAGACTCTACATCCGAATCTGTATCGACTTGTATTTCATTCTCTGTGTTTGTTGAATTTTCACTAGAAACTGTATCTTTATCTCTTTCTTCCATTTTCTTTTTATGATTCTTTGATACAATATGATTATTGTATTGCTTTTCATTGTTAAATTTTTTTCGACAAATTTTACAATACTGTTTTTGCTTTGTCTTGGTTTCGTTTGCATTGTATTTGTTATAAGCAATGTTTTTATTCTGGAACTCTTCCAATGAAATTGCAGGTAACTCGCTCACCTTCCTATGCAGATTATATCTATGCCATTCAGAATCGTAATGCATTTTGTGCGCATCCAAATTTGCAAGTATTATATGGCATGTTAGACAAGTAAACGAATCTCTTATAGGCTCAAATACAAGACCCTTATATAGAAATTTATATGGAGCTAAATGCTTATAAAAAATTTTTCTTTGCTGAACGACCATATGCATAGTAACCATTTCTCTTTTCGGAATAATAGCATCTATATTATTCATTTTTATTTTCTTCTTGGTACAACTCCTGTTTATATAAAAATGAAAAACTAAAATTATAAAATTATATCACTTTAAAACTATTTTCTACAACAGAAACATATGGTCAACAAATATTTTAGTATTCTATTCCGAGTTTTCGGACCGAAAAAATATTTTATAAATATTTAAAAAGTATTTTATTTCATATTTAGAATTAATTTCATTCACTAATTCATGCGACATCAAAGATTACACGAGCAAAACAAGAAATTTTTTGTTTGCAAAAATGATTTAATATTTAATAATATTCGAATAATATTAAAGAGAATAAAATTTTTTTCTCGGTACTAACATGTGATAAAACATACTTTAAAGGTTAGTCACGCAATGTGACCTCCATTTAAAATTTTCACAATAAATATCACAATTTTTTAAAGGTTAGTCACGCAATGTGACCTCCATTTAAAATTTTCGCAATGAATATCACAATTTTTTAAACAATATCATTATTTTTAATTTTTCAGCTTACCTAGTATATGATACCTGATGATACCACGATGCACGCTGTACAAAGGTACAAAGGCAACAGCATGTGCTGTTCCGAATTTCGATATTCAAAACCCTTGCTAGACAACAGGAATAGGATATAGAAATTTTTACCAATAAATACGCAGAATAGAAAATATTCTCCAATAGGAGCAGAGAATAGATATTTTTTTCTTATTGTCTGTTGCCTAGCATTGTGCAAGGGCTTTCACTGTTCACTGCCAGTACTAAAAATCTATAGTTTGCGTCACGTATAGTATAGGGCTTGTTCTTTTTAGCTGCACTGCTGCACTAGTGCAATTAGTTAGAGTGAAAGAAAGTATGTTTGTCTCTTTCCAACTTATTGTTAATAACTTATTATTAATATAGTGCAGCTAAAAAGAACAGATTCATAGATTTTTAGTCCCGGCAATGAATTTCGGAATGCATACAGCATGTGTTACAGCATGTGGAGGGGATTATTGATAGAAACTAATGATAAATATAATTAAAAATACAAAATATCTTTTTTTAATATAATATAATATATAATTTAATATAATTTAATATAATATAATTTAATATAATAAATTAATTTAATATAATTATATATAATATAATTAAAAATATGCAATTTTAAATTGTCGAAATTTTAATTGAATTTAAAAATTTATTCTCTCCCTGTTTTACCTGACTGTTAGTACCGACTGTGTTACCGACCGCTCGTTAGTATCGAACATCTCCACCGCGAAGTGGGGGCGCTCGCGGCGCCTGCGACTGCGCCGAAACTGTGTTTGTCAGACAGTAGCCATCACGCAGCGCGAGTCAGTCGAGGTATTCTCGGAGTCTTCGAGTCTCAAGTTTCTCTGTCCGATCTCCGCGCGAATCCGCGAGCACCATTAGCAGCATAAATCAGGCGACTCGATCCGTTGGCGACGAATCAAGGGGGCAAGCAAGAGCGACGGTAGAAGGCACCAGAAGGCCGGCTCCACATCGACGATTCTCGCTCTCCCTCTAGCGCTCTATCTCTCTCGCTCGAGGCATCTCGCTCGCAGCTCGTCGGACTCCTCGTCGGACTCACTCGTCGCGAGACGTATAAATCGGACACCTCCCCGATCGGAGGGCGATCCATCCATCTGTTTCGAATCTCGGCTCTTCCGAGCGGCGGATTTTCACGCTAGAAAGCGGCCGTCCAGCAGGGCGATACCATTTTATATGACTTTACTTCGACAACGAGGTAAGTGCTCTTCTCTTCCTCTTCCCTCCCACCCTCTCTCTCATTCGCTCGTTCTCTTGCGAATATTTTTTTATATAATAATTGATATAATAAAGATAGCGAATTCGATTGACATTAATTCAGTCTCGTTAGATCGATTAAATTAGCCCCAGTTGTCTTTCTTTTTCAACGTCATAAAATGATATCTCTCTCTCCCTCCCTCCCTCTTTCTCTCTCACTCTCTCTGTCTCTCTCTCGCGTCCCCGTTCGTTCACTTGCGACCGCTAATTTTAGCGAACAGCCATTTTGGACGGCATGAGGCGTGCGGAGCCGCAACGGCCCCCTCGTCTGCGGAAATGAGCAGGTCCCTCCTCTTCGGCGGCAGCGACGTTCGCGTGCGTGTCGCATGATGCGTCATTGCCGGAGGAGGAAACGAGCTTTCCCAAGCCGGTCTTAACCCAACGTGGTTCGTTCGTTTCTATTCTCCGCCACGATTCCTCTAGATTTATTATTCTCAGAGATACGCAATCTCTCCCTCTCTGTGTTTTACTCTATTTCCAAACTCCCAAATAGACACAAATGTGTGAAATGTAAGTAAAATAGCAAAGACGAAAACTCAAAGTTCGTACAGCCGCGTTTACGAAGAGAAACATTCTGAAATGAGACGAGCGTATATTTGAATTCTTCGGAGGAAACTCACAAATTGAAAGTATTTCTTTCTTATACTTTCTGTATCTAATAAAAGAACAAAATAAAATTACGAAAAGTACGATTATAAAAGAGGCTTAAACAAACAAATTAAAATAGGACTCTTTTACATTTATTTTTATTTGTCGCTTTTAGGTTTCGTTATTTTTCGATTACATTTAATTACATTTAATTCTCGCGAGTGATTCTGTAAATGCGAAAAAACTGCGCAAAAAGCGATGTAATTATAGGGGAATTTAAAGTAATCATTATCATTGCGAGAGAGAGAGAGAGAGAGTATGATGCATAATAATATTTATATTGATGCATTTACTCTATGATACTGTACTAAAAAGTATTTTTTATTCGTAGTAATTCTTATCACAATAATGATAAAAGTAGTAATTCTTATCACAATAATGATAAAAGGCGGTTTTCAGGAAACGACACAGAGGACACAGTGTATCTTCATCCTTGTTAGTTGCCGAATGTAAACAAGGATGAAATGATTCACTGTGTCACACTGTGTCCTCCTTATCGCTTACTAAAAAAACGCCCAAAATATGACAGTTAACATATGACAGACGTTTGACAGATGTTTTTTTGCAGAGTAAAACATAAGGAAAAACTTTCATTATATAGCTAACCGTATATATTATTGCTAGACATTATCTACTTCGAGTAACTAAAAGACTCGTGGTATGCCCATGATATCGTTCTAAAAGTACATTAAAAACATTAAATACAAAGTTATTTGTAAAATTTCTCAATTTATTCTGTCTCTTAAATTTACGCGCGACACGTATGTGTATGAGATGAGATACATTATATTTTTTATTATATTTTTTTTCTAAGAATCAATAATCAAACGTGACATTTATTTTAAGAAGATAAAGATCTCATGATAAAGATTGTTTCAAAGATTTATTATAGTGACTTGCTCTTCGTAACGGATAACCATTTTTATTGATTATCCATTTTTTTATCTTCTATATTTTTAATTGGAAAATTTTACGCGCCTTGAGATAATTAATGTATCCACGATTAATCTCTTTTTTAATCATTTTAATTATCCATATCGGTGGGGTGTATACTTAAACGGTGGGGTGTTTTACTTAAAATTTCTATTGTGTATTATATTTATTATCTTACACAACATACGAGAGAGAGAGACAATATTTTATATTTTTAATTTATAACTCGTAATATTATATATACCTTTGAAACATTGAACTTGACGTGTGCTTGCAAAAAAGGAAGGAAGGAGCAATTGCTTTGCATGTCATTTACATATCGTGCAAATCGCTGCGTCATCTAATGATAACTACATCGAGTACTCAATAATGATCGTGCAATTTGTATATTGTTTAAAATTGTTTAAAACTGATATTACAAGGCATCTGATTTTAATCGGAATTATCTTTTTAGTAACAAATAATCGATAGTATAGCAATGTCGATTCGTTAATTGATTCATATTGATTTAACAGATTAAATCTTTTCAGCTGATATTACATATAGTGTACACATCATGTATTCGATTGAATCTGATATAAAGTTAAATTCACACATTTCTCATATACAAGATTTCACAACAGTTATTATTTTTCTCGGCACATTTCCAGTGTGATTTTTAGTGTTAGATTTTTAAATGTTAGTTCTAAGACACGAGCGATTAGATTACATAATGTTGTAAATAACATCGACAATCGTAGATAATATATACTTTCGACACAATTTTATAGTTAATGTTTTTTATATACAGGGTGTATCTTAAAAAGTTCCCACTAAGCAAATAGCGTTATTCCTGATTAAAAACCGAGTCGAAAAGTCCTGAACCATTTTTTTTCCAAGATTCATTAAATAATTAATCAGATTTAAGTATTAAAAAAATTTCTGAAAAGATGAATTGTTTAAAAATTAACACAAAACAGTTTATTTTTTTGCTTGTTCAAATCTTCATATGTTGATAACGAGGAAGTTTGTCTTTTTATTGGCGCGACTTTACTCATTAATTACTGCTTTATTAAGCATTACAGAAAAAAATGATTCAGGACTTTTCGACTCGGTTTTTAATCAGGAATAACGCTATTTGCTTAGTGGAAGCTTTTTAAGATACATTCTGTATATATAAAATACATTCGCAGTTTCATCGACAATAACATTCGAATCATATTTGTAAATACATGTTCTTATCAGCGACAAACAATCTAGTGTCAGTCTAAGATCGATCTTTGCACACTCGAAATTTATATTGATATTTTTTATAGATATTTTTGTAGGTATTATTTTTTTAGAAATTAGAACTTAAAACATCCTTTCTCGATGCAAAAATTGCGTTTACTTTCGTTAAATTTCGAAAGACGCCGATTTTTTCGGAGCTCTAGAAATATTTCGAAACGATTGCGTCAGACAATGGATTTAAATCTAAATCTTTCTCTTTGTTTCTACGAGAATCGCGAGCTATATTTTGTCGAAAGCCGATTTATCTGGCCAAGACGGCTTGCTACTTTGACCCTTAAGTATGCGTGCGATAACGATGCAAAATAACACCTCTTAATCAGTAAACAGCGGTTCTCAAGCGTAATTTCTCCCAGTGTGAATTCCACAACTCGATCTCTTCTCGCAAGTGATATCTATGGGATTTATTGTTGTCAGCGAATCCCTATCGATCTAGCTACCTCTACGATTCGAGAAACCTCAATCGAAACCGTCGTTGAAATCTTTTTTTAACGCGGACGTAAAGTAATTATACGATTGTATTATAACGTTCAGAGCGATGAAGTAATAGCGATGAATTTCGCTCTCTCACTTTCTCTGAATCGCGAGCAGGAGTAAATATGTCGAAACGTGTTTTGCGACGTAGAAAATATTTACCAAGGATTGCCGGATTATTAATTGCAACGTATCAAAAACGGCAAGGGCAGAGGGGAGGAGTAACCCTCCTAAATAGAATTTAACTATTAAATTGATTGGAAAAGTGTACACGATGTATTTACTTCTTCTACTCACAAAGTAAATAAATTTTTCCAATAAATTTTTTAATGGAAAATAAATTGAAAATAAATTGAAAATTATTTTTACAGAAGGATATTGTTTTAAAAATCTTTAGAAAAATCCAAGAGAATATTATTAAAATATTGATTGAAACGGAAATGAATATAAAAATAATATAAATAATTAGATAAAAGATAATAATAATTTATATAATAATTAAAAGTATAATAATTAAAAAATTAATTTAGATAAAATATAAAAGATAGAAAAGAATAGATAAGATAAAAGAATTTTTTAAATATTTAATTATAAAAATTATTTATTTTCAAAATAAGATAAATTATGTAATAGGTATATAAAAAAATGGAGAAGAAAAAATAGAGGGATTTAGAATTTATTGATCTGAAATTTACAAGATTCATAATAATGAAGTGCAACAATAGTATAATTATCTTCGCAATAAAGTGCAAGATGGAGATAACGATTATTGGAAATTCTAATTTGATTTTAGTTCATCTATATAATCATCCGTTTTTATTGACGTAGCAGCATTAACGATGCGGAAGCGCTAGAATAGATTGTCGAAAATTCTCCGCGAAATTAATTTTGCTTTCAATTCGATTCAAAACCGAAACGATCATACATCATATTAGTTTTACATCGTTAAAAAATTAAGTTATCAAATTGTTATTGATATTAAAAACAAGATTATATTTTGTGTAAATTTTGTAAAATTAAATTAATTTTTATTAAATTAATTTTCTTAAATTAATTTTTATTAAATTATTTTTATTAAATTAATTTTTATATTCATTTATTTGTAACTTCGAGATTGTAAGAAATAAATTTTATTATCGTTTTATTTCGTTTAATCAAACGCTCGACGTAATTAAGGACACGATTGCATAAGAAACGATGAACAGGTTCCTAAACCATGACTGGATGCGATCAGGACCTAGGTCAATCTATCCTCCTGACCTATCTCACTGCAATTCTTCCTAGACCTTTCACGATATTCGTTGATCAGTCAAGTTACTCTTGATTAAGAAGGTGAAGAGGAAAAATTTCTTCCTCGTGACATGGCAATATCCGATTTCGAAATTAATATAACATAAATTCAAATTCGCGATTAATATGGTACAAAAATATCCTATTAAATCTATGAATAATTTATATTTGAAATTTCAAGATTGCGATTTATTCTCACAAACACAAAGATCAACATGTATCTGCAGTTATTGACAAAGATGTTTCACGATTGGCGACTGCTCGAGCTACGTGCCAGTTAGCTACTCGAGAGTGAAGTAGAGTGACCTTGCCCGAAGGCTGCTCTCTCTCTAGAAGAGACGACGTCGGCGTCCGGATCGGCGTCGGCGTCCGGATCAATATACACGGTGGACGTCGAGAACGCGTGCGCGCCGCGGGATAGGCCGATCCGGGTCCCGAGAGCTGTCAGACCACGAAGAGACGACGAGTGACTCTACTCTAGTTGCGCGCTAGCAAGAGGCCGACCTCTTCGACTCAAGAGCTACCCCCGAGCGCGAGAATCGATTCTCTTTCTCTCTCTCTTGCTCTTTCGCTCTCTGCCTATCTCTCTCTTCCTCTCGGCAACGCGACGGACCTGCTCCACTTTTTTTTCTCTATTTCTATCCATCTATTTGCCTTGGAGTCTCCTCGTCCTCCTTCCTTCTCGTCATCGTTCCTCTCTGCTCCTCGAGAGTGCCGTTGGAGAAGAAGTCTGGGTACACCTGGTGATCAACGACAGCGACTGCGGAAGACGCGTCAACGTCGCAAATCACGACTTATGCGTCTGTACCGAGCAGGTAACTCACCCGTTTCCGGTACACGCGATTCCCTCGAGAATCATCTCGAACGATCGCTACCCCGCATGAATTCTGTGCCAAGATTTGCTATTAGACTGCCTAAGTTCCGACGAATAAACCAGGTATTAAATTTGAGGTATTTAATTTAAATTAAACGCGGTTTATTAATGAAATATGATTGTCGTTCTCGAAGCAGACTTTATTACCAAGTCATAAGGAGATAAGAATTTTTTATTCCACAATTAATTCTTTCTTTAAATGTGTCATCTGATAAAAGACTGGACACAGTTTTCAATTAATTATTTCGTCTCAAGGCGTGCTCGAAAGTACTCGAAAGTGCATCTCGACACGTCTTAAGGTATCTTAACAGTAATCGCGAAAGCACCGCTTATAGCGCAATAAATGGAGCGCGAGAATCAATATTAATAACGCATAGTTTTATTATAAACAACCGGCTGCAACCGGGCATGGAATTACAAACTGCATACTATTGTAATGGCACACTTGCAGAAACGTGAGTACTGCATACATCGCATTCTCAGGTATCTCTAACGCTAAATCGATAGGATATATCTTACGAGATGTCTCCTTACACTACAGGAGGGATATCAATTTCTTTCCTTGTCACAATCGCAAGTTCTCACATATATCAGTTTACGATTGATTTCACGAAATAAATATATGTAATTAAAAACAAAAAGGTTCACTTTAATGGGAAAATTTATCATTAAGAGAAATTTATCTGTACAATGTTGTATCTCATCCGGGAGAAAATAGAAAATCGATTAAATAATTTAATAATTAAATTATTAGTGCTAAATTATTTATCTCTAACTCGTATAATTTAATTAAAATAAATCGAGTTATATCACGCAAACATGTGTCTTACTTGACAGCTGCTTTATATGCATAGAAATATAAAAATATGTCTCTGTCTCATGTAAAGCTTCTGTTTATATTATATGTTACACGCGTGTACCTTATTTATTATACGACACACTTCCGTTTAATTTTCTTTCAAGCGGATCTTCATTTATTGCGATTGCATTTGTTCGAGATAGATCAATCCGCTCGTCGCGATTGAACTTCCGCGATCTTCAATAAGGACATCCAGTCCGTCAGTAAGGATTTTCGCTATCATGATTCTAATGTGGTCCATCTCAGACGAAAATCATCCGGATGATCGTTAGCAGCATAGCCAGATGAAACTTACACCGGTCCGATGATCTATGCCTGAAAATTTCTCTATGTTATTCCCATAGTCCTGCACATCTTGAACGCTTTTAGCAGATCAAACTCGCATGGATAAAAGCAAGATTTTCTGTCTTTCTCTGTATTCAGAATACATCCTTCGAGCCTACGATTGAAATGAATTCGATAAGGTTAGAAAGAAATAGAAGGCAAACTTATATAATTATATAATTTTTGAATTGGATAATTATTACCTCTGTTAAAAAATTAAATAGCTCTTTAAATAATTAAAATGATTTAATTTCAGGTTCTAAGTGATTTTTTTCACACAACTAAAATTTAAATACATATGATTAAATTTTACATTAAAATTATTTATTAAAATATATTAAAATTCTTTAAAAATAAATTTAACATGCAATAATTTCTTTATATTTTTATTTACACAATATATTCTTTATATTTTTTTCTCTATTTTTCTTTTTATTTTTAAAACAAAATTTCTATTTTCTCTTAAATTTTTCCAAATGTTTCTAATAAAACTCCTAATTATTTATTCCAAAGAAAGAATAATTTATAGAAATCGTGGTCTTTAATGAACTGATCAAGATTGTCTTGTTTTTGCAGAAACATCCAGGATATCATCCAGAGGGAAAGGATCGGTGTGTAGCAAAGGCGGCGGCGACAGCAGGACACTATCATCCGACCGGCGATCATTAAACGGCAACACCATCACCACTCACGATCATTTGTTTTTGCGCGAGTTAACCAGCGAGTTAACATCAACATCATTACCAACCTGGTACCACCGATTGCCGGGCTTTCTTAGGGCGACGAGCGACGGACACGCAGCGTGTATGATCATTGAAGACTACCCCCCTACCCCACCCGCCACCGCCAAACCGAGGCAACACTCGAGGCATCAAGATACCACCCAACGATTCTTAAATCTTCACCTGGTCCTGCCCAAGCACAGGACCTCAAAATTTTCCAGGTTCATAGTCGACAATTTTGAGCCAATATGGCCCAAACAGTAACTTAAAAATTTTTTTAATTTTTAAAATAATATTTTTTCAAAGATATATTTTTTCTTTGTAGTAATAGGCATCGAAAGCTACAGCCATTCAGAGAAACGTGACTGGCGTCAGCGGGTAGCGGCGCGGCACGCCTTACCGCTAACAAGGATTACAACCCTGAAAACAGGCAGAACCACCCTGACTCGACACGCTGCTGTTACGAGCGACCACAAACAGGCGGCAGTCGTTGTCTATTATTGGCCACTGCCGGCTATCAAACTGCCGCTGGCTCGAAACGTGCGACAGAGGCGATTTAGAAGAACTAGGACGAAGACATTACCTACCTGAAAGAAAAAGATCGAATAGTGAATCCTCTCAGGCTGCTTGAGAATTGATTTTTTTCGTTGCGATTTGTTAACATTTTCACAACGACGTCTCATCGGAAATTACTGTCGATCAGAGAAGTTGAGTTTATCAAAAGCAAGAGAAGGCGGAAACAGTCATCATGGCAAGCGTAAATGTCAATCGCAATGTCAGCGATGCCTTCTATCGCTATAAGATGCCGCGCATCCAGGCCAAGGTGGAAGGTAAAGGAAACGGCATCAAAACAGTAATAGTCAATATGGTGGATGTGGCTAAGGCGATTGGTCGTCCGGCCACATATCCGACCAAATATTTCGGCTGCGAACTAGGCGCACAGACTCAATTTGATTTCAAGAACGAGCGCTTCATCGTCAACGGATCGCATGATGCTACGAAATTACAGGATTTGCTGGATGGTTTTATTCGGAAATATGTTCTATGTCCGGCTTGTGATAATCCGGAAACTGAGCTGATGGTCAGTTCGAAGAAGGGCACGATCTCGCAAGGCTGCAAAGCTTGTGGGCATCATGGCCTTTTGGAAAGCAATCATAAGCTGAACACCTACATTTTGAAAAACCCACCGAGTCTGAATCCAGCGGTACAAGGCAGTTCGTTGACGGAAGGTAAACGTGGCAAACGCTCTAAACGTGCCAATGGCGATACCGGAGCCACAACCGCAACCGTTGCTGCCACTACTAATGGCAACGATCGATCTTGCTCGCCGGAAAACGAGGTCAACAATTCCTCAGATATTGTAGTGGAGCCTCCGCCGGAAAGAACAATCAGCAACAACGAGGATGATGATAAATGGGCGGTTGATGTGTCCGAAGAAGCGGTCAGAGCTCGTCTCCAAGATCTGACAGATGGTGCGAAGGGCATGACTATCAGCGATGATTTAGACAAGAGTGAAAAGGAGCGCATGGATATGTTCTACAAGTTGGTTAAGTGCCGCCGAGATGCTGGCCAGTTGGATAACAATCACAAGGAGCTTGTAGCTGAAGCCGAACGTCTCGAAATCAAAACCAAGGCGCCGTTAATCCTCGCTGAATTATTATTTGATCAGGCAATCGCCGCACAGGCGAAGAAATATCGTGTATTGTTGTTGCGTTTTACTCATGATGACATCAGAGCACAGAAATATTTGATCAGAGGTATTGAACAAGTTATCGCATTGCATAAGGATACTCTGATGCCGAAGGTTCCCGGAATTCTCAAGGTAAAAAATCAACTTTTATCTTTTATATTAAATTTTATTCTTTTCATGAATGAAAATTTCTTTTCTGTTTATTACGGCAAGGCATTTATTAAGGTTTTTCCTTTATTTTAAAAATTTATACTTCGTATATACTATTTTTTATTAACTTTTTCATTTTATTTTTTATTATATTTTTTTATATCTCATTTCTTTTTGATTAGTACTAAATTATTTTATTTTTATTAAGTTAATAAAAGTATTTGGATCTATTTCAGTTATTTTATGATGCTGATATCCTGGAGGAAAAAGCATTTGATGAATGGTCAAGCAAAGTCAGTAAAAAATACGTTTCAAAGGATCTGTCGCAGGAGATTCACGATCGAGCTGCACCATTTTTAACATGGTTAAAAGTCGCAGAGGAGGAAGAGTCTGAGTCTGAGGAAGAAGATGACGACTTAGAAGTAAATATTTCATTATATATTAGTGTTGTCAATTAAATATATTAATTTTTTAAAATTAAATTTATTAATTTTAAGGAAAAATTTTCTTTTACAAATTTTTCTGTTAAATACATATGTTAGACTCTTGTATTTTTACTTTGTTCTATTTTAATTAAATTAATTAGAGTTATTTGGCGAAAGATTGGCAGAATCAATATATTTTTCTTCCTAAGTGTAAGTCTATTAAATTTAAGGCTATAATTTTTCAAGAATTATTTTTTCTCTTGTATTTTTTATTTTATACTATATTTTGATGTTATATTTTGTGACATAACTTTAATGTTTCGCACTTTTATCTTTCAGATTGAATACGATGATAGAGCCAAACAAGAATCTCTGAAACAGCAGCAACCAGCAGTTACACCGAAGCCCGCCACCACAGCTACCGCCGCCGTAAAAGATGATTCTGATGAAGATGACTTCGATATTGATGCCATTTAAAGCACATACACAATACAATCTACACACATAATACAATACATATATACACATACATGCGCAATGGATGATGAAAAATATTGATTCGATACGTAATACAAGACAAATAGTCATTTTTCTCTCAAAAAAAAAAAACTGTGCAAATGCAATCTCAAGTTATGCGCAAATAAATAAGGTTTTCGTTGTTTTAGACTGACAAGATCGATATAATTAACACACAATGCCGTTTACATGTTAATGAAGAAAAAAAGAAATTTTAATCGTTCCCAAGCATTTAATATGATTTATATTTCTGTGTACAATGTGTATCTATGATATTTTTAATTGTTTCAACGATGCGGTAAAAAGAAATGTGTGTTTACTGAAAAATCGTTATTTCTTTAATATTATTGATTGTTATCGCGATTTTTTAATGAATACAATTATGCGCGTACCTTAATATCTGTTTGCATTTGTTTCAAATAAAAAAAAATAGAAGACATAGAATTCATAAACATCACTGGGAAATTGGCCTGCTAAAAACGTTCTTTATTGTATCTATTTACTATTCTAATTATTATTATTCAAATAAATATGATTTATTGCAATGACTCCTACAATTTTCTATTTTTAGCAACAAATAAGAAAATAGAAAAATTATATTGTAATTGCATTATATTAATATTGACATTTAATTATTGAAATTATGTGTATATTACTATGCAACTTATATATTGTCAAATTTTTAAGTTTTAAAAATATCTAAATAGTATGTTGTAATTCGTATTTTTATAAAACAATATAAAATTCATGTATGGGCAACGTATAAAAATTCGAGAAGTTTGAAAATATTGTTTGTGGAAATTTTATGTTTTTGAAATGTACTTGCAAATTATACTAAATTTTTATTGATTTTTGTGCCATATATTTTTTTTTATATAAGAGTTTGTTCTTTTTAAGATAATTTCTCTTAAATATCGCAATTTCTATTTAATATAAAATAAAAATATATACTTTATAAATGTGAAGCAAAGAAAAAGAGATAAAGTAAGAAACAAATATACACAAGCAAATATAACAACAGATGTAATTTGAATTTCTTATCACGAATTTAAAATTATGACAGTATATTCTTTTCAAGAAATAATTGAATGGAATCCTCCGTTACGTCACGTATTCTTCATCAAACTAGTTCGAAAATCTTACTCATGGAATAGACTACTATTGAATTAACCAATCAGGACAAAGAATGCTTTTTCGTTCTGATTGGTTAATTCCATTGTAGTATATTCTATGAGTAGGATTTCTGAACGGACCCTAAGGCCGGGTCTACAATAGATAATTTAAGCCTTAACCTTAAAAGATTGACCAATCACAGTCTGTATCCAATCAAGTATGAAGATAATACTAGGCTGTGATTGGTCAATTTCTTAAGGCTTAGTGCTTAAATTACCTATTGTAGATAGGGACTGAATGATAATCAGCCGTGACTCTCTTATCGCACAGTCTCAAAAAAGCCGCAAGAAACTATTGAAGTTGTCGAACGTTGCGAGAATAATTTTCGCCAACAAATCACCTCTTTTCGCCGCAAAAAATTCATTTTCGATCATTTTTGACAGAACGCGACAGCAAGAGGAAAGAGAGAGACGAAAAGTATGAAAATTGGCGGGATTTGGCGGTAAGACGCGGTCAGCTGATTGGCGGCTGATGTTTTGGGCGCGAAGTGCCGGCGAGAGAGGCCAATGAGACACCGATGGAGATAATTTTGCCGCGTAAGGTGTTCAGTCCTTCCCAGTCTTTCCTCCTTCGTTCGCCGAAACGGAGCTCCGTCATCGCTAATCTCGACATTGGAAATTTTACAGCTACCAAAAACACGATGGCATTGCACGAATGTACCAAGGAAAACGTCCGCAAGCACCTCGAAGATGTATCGTTGCACGTAAGTGTCGTATTCGTTATATTACTCGTTATATCAGAATACGCTATTTCCTTCATTCCCTATTTCCTTTATTCATTCATTTAAGGATCACCTTTTTTTCCTTCTATCGCATCTCTTTCCATATCTCTTCTGTCAAATTTTCCCAACAATGGTGATAATGTTGAATACATGTCGAACATGTTGAATAAATCTGCCGTTCATTAATGCAATAAAAAGAACATACAAGAGAGAAATATTAAATACATACAAGAGAAAAATATTTTGGAGCACGAAAAAGAAATAATAATATTAATAGTAGTATTTAGATCAAAACGCAAATTTATTTAATGTACGAACAGAATATTTAAACAATATATACACACATACATGGCTTCTACGTCTAATTTAGGCTAAAAATTACTCAGAATGTGCTCTATCTTTCATCAGAATGTTTTATCATGAGATATATTTGATAATACTGTTATCAGTAACCTAGGGTGAAAGTAGAATTTTCTATGAATAATATACCATAGAATTTTCTTACTTGGGATTTATTTAGGTTAATATTTTTCAATAGCTCAAATATAGATACTTTGATTAACAATTAATTTTGAATTTATAACAAATAGTAACAGAAAATTCTTAATGTAAAACATTTTGCTGTTTTATTGATTTTATCTTTAAAATTATTATATCAAAATTATATTATATATTGTTTAGAAACAATTTGTTTCAATTAAAATTTTATATATAATTCATACTATTTCTTTCAAAATATATAATACAATGTTTGAACTGTGAAAAGATTTCATTAAATTATTAGTAATTACTTTAATAATGGCTAAATAAATAATATAATGACAATTATTACTGTTTTTCTATAACCTTCTTTTATTAAAAAGAATTTATTTAGATTATATATTGTTTTATTAAACTTAGATTAATTACAATTTCTTTTTGCAGACATCACCAAAAAAATCATGCATATCACCAACTATATCTCAAGATGGATTGAAAAGTGGAGTAAGTATAATTTCTTTATTATATGATTTTAGTATCTTGATATGTTTTATTTCATATTGAAATTTCATTAATTAAAATATTTAATATAAATAATAAACTTGTATAGCTTTCCAAGACAAAAGCCGTGCAAAAAGTACAACTCAAGGAAGAGTTCAATCCAGAATTGGAACCACTCCTTCAGGAAGGTCCAAATCGTTTTGTGATTTTCCCCATTCAATATCCTGATATTTGGGATATGTACAAAAAAGCTGTGGCATCCTTTTGGACCATAGAAGAAGTACCTCTTCACAAGGTAAATTATTATATTATAATACATATTTCTAAAGGTATACAAATAAATTTTAATAAACTTTTCATTAAATTTTTTATAACAATGCATTTTAACTTTTTAGTTGGATAAAAAAGACTGGGAAGAAAAGCTTAATTCTGACGAAAGATACTTTATCTCTCATGTCTTGGCATTCTTTGCTGCTTCTGATGGAATCGTTAATGAGAATCTGATTGAGAGATTCAGTCAAGAAGTAAAAATTGCTGAAGCACGTTGTTTCTATGGATTCCAAATTGCCATAGAGAACATTCATTCTGAAATGTATTCCTTGCTTATTGAAACATATATTTCCGATCCAAAAGAAAAGTAAGTGCTATAGTTGGCCATATACTATTATTTATATTAATTATAAATAATATTAATTATATATATATATATACACACACACACAATTTTATATATATATATATATATATATATATTCATTATTTAATATATTTATTTATTTTATTATTTAAATTAAATTAATGATTTTAATTATGTTAAATGCATTAATATATGTGCCATAATTTTATTTACAGAGATTTCTTGTTTAATGCAATCGAAACACTTCCTAGTGTGGGAAAGAAAGCTAATTGGGCATTAAACTGGATCAATCACGAGAGTGCCACATTTCCTGAACGCGTAGTCGCGTTTGCGGCGGTTGAAGGTATCTTCTTCAGTGGCAGTTTTGCCTCAATTTTTTGGTTGAAGAAACGGGGAGTCATGCCAGGTCTCACTTTCAGTAACGAACTCATCTCACGAGACGAAGTTAGTAAATTAACTTAATTATATCTGTACTTAACTTAATTATAACTTAATTAACTTAATTATACTTATATAAATTTATTGTTCATTTATTTATATTCACTTTTAGGGATTACATTGCGATTTTGCATGTTTAATGTTTAAACACATTGTACAAAAACCATCCTTTGAACGTGTGAAATCAATTATAATGGATGCTGTAGAAATTGAACAGGAATTTTTGACACAAGCATTACCAGTCCAATTGATAGGAATGAATTGTACACTCATGTGCAACTACATCGAATTCGTTGCGGATAGATTGTTCGTCGCATTAGGATTTGAAAAAGTAATGTATACAAAAGTCTTATTATCTTATTACTATTTTAATCTATCCATTTTTTTAGATAATATTTATTTTACATAATATTATTATCATGAAATTTACTCCCATAAATTGTTTTAATTTCTTTTCTCTCTTTTTTTATTTTTATTTTTTATTTCATTATCATCCTTATAAAATTTCCAACTTTTATTTTTGTTTTATAATTCTAAAAAAAATCTATTTAATTCATCTAATTAATTTTAATATTATAATATAAAATATTAGGTTTATCATTCGGAGAATCCATTCTCGTTTATGAACTTTATCTCTCTGGAAGGCAAAACAAATTTCTTCGAAAAGAAAGTAGGTGAATACAAAAAATTCGGAGTCGCAGAGGAAGGTTCTCAGAAAAGGAGCAACACATCGGGTGTAGTATTTAGTGCGAATTTTTAAAAGATTTTTTTTTAATGTATAAATATCATATACATATATATATATATATATTTGCTCCTAGATGGAGAAAAAATGCTGTATATTAATGTCCATATTTAATTTTGGAATAACTTTTTATACTAACAATAAGTCTAAAAGTAATTGACAAATATTTTTATGTGACAGAAAGACATTTGTAAAATATTTATAAAATATATATGCATAACCTGATGGCATTAATAAGAAAAATATTAAGTATGCAATTTCTATTATAAGTATAGTCATTTTTAAAGTACTCTTTTTTTCAAATAGTGTTTCAAAAAAATATAATCGCATATAATGCATTCATATAGTTTTATATTTAATTTTCATTTTTCTTCTATTGTAACTAATTAACTTTCAGAAAAGTAAAAATTGTACTAATCCTAAAAAGTAGCAACTTTGATTACTTTTTATTAATGTCATCATTATTGGACAAACTTTTGATAAATTGACTGCTATCTTTAATGTAGACTTATAATTAATTAAAATTCTGTTATTAACGTCACAATACCTAGCACTTTTCAAAAATTTCTTTTTATGATTTGAAAATTATTTTATAAATGAACAAATTGATAATATTTAGACTTTATTATTATATTTTCATTAAAAAGAGTTAAATATAAAGTAATAATTTACCATTATTTTGTTATAAAGTGCCATGTACATAACAATTGGATGTGTTAAAAGAAACTGTACATATAAATTTGAATGAATAATTATATAAATCAGAATCTCTGTTACACTTTGGAATTTAAAGTTGGTTACTTAAAACAGTATTTATAAGATTAAGTCTTTTCATGAATATGTAAACTATAATAAGAAATAAAATTTGACTGTAAAAAATCAAAGTATCTTCCTCGAAGCTTTTATTATTTATTTGCTGAAAAAAAATTCTAGAAAATAAGAATGCTTGAAGGAAGATACTTTGATTTTTTACAACCAAATTTTATTTCTTATTATTTCATTATTATATATATTTATTAATATTTCAAACATATGTCATGAAAAATATATATATACAATATATAAAATATAAAAAAATATTTTTCTGGAAGTCCATGTAGTATTGAAGTTTATTAAAAGGAAAGTACTTCAAATCCTTTCTGCAATTGTTTGAGATAGTGTTTGCGACACTCCATGTTATCAGCTGGTCTATTATATGGCAGCCAAACTGGCTCTCCAATAAAATATCTCTTTGCCTTTATGTAATTCTAAAAGAATTTATTTGAAAATTTTAGAGAAAAATTTCGTTTTAGAATTCAAAGAGAATTTTTCTTGCAAAAAAAATCCATGTAATTTATCATTTCTCATTTTATAATTCAATATGATAACAATGAAAAGAGCCTTTAATAGAATTAGAAATTTTTAAAACTTCTTTACTATATTTTTAAGAAAAAATTTGAAGAGATAGATAAGAAGATAATTGATGAGCACATATTTACATTAATGTCCAAAGTAAAGCGATGATAAATCCCACTAGGTATGATTATTAGATCACCAGCTGTAACTTCAATCCGAATCCATTCATCGTTTTTATCTCTTACGTCGAAATAACCAGATCCATCCAGAACTAGGCGTATCTCTTCATCAGTGTGAAGATGTTCAGTGAAAAAATTTCTTAACTGAGGATTTATAAATATTTAGATGAATCAATATAATTACAAAAATTTAAGAAAATTTTCTATATGTAGTGTACAGTAAATTACATATAAGTTATAGTTATATATAAATATAGAGTAAGTGATACAAGAATATTTTATTAGTTTATAAATTATTTATTAACAAATAGAGAGATATTTGAAAAAAAATCAAGATTTTAAAATATGTATCTTTTAACATTTCTGAAAAAGTTCGTTAAACTTATTAGCAAAATGAATTAGATAAGAAATAAACCAAACTAAATTTCAAGCAACTTGTTCAAATTCCAACTGATCTAATATTAAGCAAACATGATTCTGTAAGAAATGACAATAAAATTTGTATATTTCTATACTAATTTTTTATCGATATTTTTATGGTTATTTTTTCAAAATTTAAAGCTTGAACTTTAGTAGTTAATCGATACATCTGCTACTATAATAACAATCAAAATTAATTAAAAATAACATTTTTCTTATACCTTTTCTTCATAATTTTGTAAACATTCTTTGGAGCATGTTATTTCATCTTCATATGTATAACCGCGTTTCTCGCGTAATTTCTTCAAGGTAGCATCTGTGTCATAATTGAGATGATTTATCTAAAAAAGTATATTTAAAATGCTATATTGTTAAAATTTTTATTATCTATAACATTCTTATTTACGCAATTGTATGTATGCGTATTATATAACATATTAATATTAAAGTAACATATTAAATGTTATAATTTACATGTGTACATATTATATTTAATAATATAAAACAATGTGCATGATTAAATATCGTTCAGTTTTAGGCAATTTCAAAAATTTGGCCAAATTTTTATTATCAGCTGATCGTGTGTATTTTTCGATATATCGCGAGTTTCTTAACCTTAAAATATTCGACGCCCGTCACGGCAAATAGATGATCCAGCGACACGAATTCCGGCGGTTGCCTGTGATGTTCCAATCGTTGATCGGCATCGTTGCTATCCATGTACCAAGCTCGCACCATCGTTGTTCGAACAAAGAACTCGAGTCAAGGACGAAACAAGGAGAACGAAGACGAAGAGCGGATTTTTAGTTTCGTGTTTAATCAGCTACTATGACGTAAGCAATCAGATAATTATCAAACGAATTGCCGGTCTTTACCGAGGATAAGGAAACCGAGGGAAAGTATACAAATAATACAATGTTTATCAATGATTGTTTATGACGAGCAAGAGGACGAGTTTAAACGAGACTTCCGTTAAATTCGAGAATTCAGTAAGCCTGATTTTTTCGCATTTGTATCGTCGAATTTTAATGTTAATTTTAAAAAATGTCTGATCTCTTATACATTTATTATAAATTTCTTTTATGTTTATCAATATTTTGTTTTATTTTCATTTTATATCATCTGTTTAGAACCTGGCATAGCCAGGAATCTGAATCTTTTATTGATATAGGTAACTTACTTTCATTTCTCTCATTATCTATTATTACTGTTATCAGAAATTAATTGTAATTTTGCTATTGCTGGAGATCTATTCAATTAATAAATATTAACTATTTATTTTTATATATCTATTTTTATACTTTACATGTTTATATATTATTATATTAATTAATTTAATATTGAGTAACATTATATATTATAATGAAAAAATTTGCCTCCTTTAGTTTCCCCAGCGACAAGAGAATTTCAATGCATATTTATACATTTAATTCTTTGAAATAATTATTTTAATAAGGTGCAGAATCATCTATTGAAAAATAGAGCAAATATTACATTTATTCTATTATTATTATTTACTTTATAAATACAGTTTTTATCTTGAAAATATTTTATTTTATTATATTTAAGATTATTTCACTAAATGTTTTTCTTATTTTTTAAGCTAATATCTTCCCGCTGGAGATGGATGAGTATTCCCAGGATATGCAGAAGCTCTTATTAAAGAAAGAGCAAGAATATGGTCAGTTAAAGTTTATCTCGTCCCGAGCAACAAAGGAAACTTCATGTTTCATTGATGAGTTGCTAGAGGCCATCGTTGACATCATTAAAAAATACAATCTATTCCCTGAAGACAATAATCACAACAAGATCAGAACCATCACTTTTACTTCTGCTCAATGTTACAATTATTTTCTGTTGAATACTAATTTTTCCTCGCATCATCTTCTTCTAGAAGACTTGCTCTATGGTCACTTGGTTGATATCTGGCCTACCTTATCACCATATCTCTTTGTACAGGTAATACATATGTTATTATATATGTTAATATATATGTTATTATTTAACAGGAAATATTTTTTAGATATATTAAAAATTTGTTTAATTAACGTTGTAAGAGAATGTATGTGTGTGTTTTTTTCAGATTTTATAAATTTTTAATTGTATTTCCAATATATTACAATTGAAATCAAATAACTATATATGTAACTAATTATATTTTTGACATAATTTTATGCCAATATAATTTATGATACTCTCCTAATTAAAAAATTGAAAAGAATTACATTTAATCATATATTGTTATATTTAAGCTTACGTATGTCATAACTTTTATATTTGCTGCAATTTATTTTTATTAAAATTTACAGATAATATGGCGCTTAAAGTGCGAGTACATACTAGTTGAATCACTCATGTACATACCATTGGATCTATGTGTGGACATTCTGGATGTAGCGATTAAATGTATAGACGAATTGGATATACCACGTGCCAAATGTTTGATTCTCGCTCTGAATAACAAAATATACGAAAAATGCCTGCAGTTGAACTTAGGCGCACTATCAGAGAAGGATATAACGGAACGCGCATGCCAATTAGTAGCGAATTTTCAGGCACTGTTGGATCTGCTTGGAAGTCCTAGGTATATGGGTTCCTCTGAGTTATCTGAAGTGGCAAGATACGAGCAACACGGACTTCTTCTGAAGTGCATTTTACGCCATATTAAATTCTGCATGAGTAAAAAGATAGAGTCTTACACAGAGAATCTTTATGAGGAAAAACTGTTAAAGCTCACATATGGCAATGTTGCTCACAATCGTGTAAATTATTATTGCACGCTTCCTGCTGATAAAGTGCAATCTATTGTGACAACATTGGATGAGGAACTAATCTCCTTATTGCTGAACCAAATTAAGCAGGTTGATTGTTATGAATATATGGGCTGGCTAGAAGTTAATGATGCAGAAAATATTATGATTCCACTACAGCGTGCTATTGTCATTGAATGCCACTATTTCATAAATTTCATGAAGGAGAATGAATTTCTGAAAAATAACGATCATCTATCCCATTGTATTCAGCAACTTTTAGGTTCGGTAAATGGCGAGGAATGTTTGTTAACTCTTCAAGAGCTTTGTCATGGCATTACCAACGGCAAACCAAATGGTATGAAAGAATTGATGAAACGTTACAAGGAATGGGATATCTCTATACTGAGTTTCATCAATGAGAGACTACAATTATTGCAAAAAGATGATTGCTGCATTTTACTTGAATATCTCCATCAGATGTTCGCGACCTCGCACACTGAAGTAGAGAAATATCAAGCTTATGTTTTAGTATTGAGAGCGATATTGCAGCAAAATGTACAAGATGTATATTACATCGTAATAAAATATGTGCTGCGACATTTTGATGATAATCGTTTAGAATACTTGTACAATCATAAACTCTTCATAAAGTTTATGCAACGCGATGCGTGTATAGCCGAATCTGAAAAACTGCTTATTCTCCTGATATTTCTTCTATTGAATGCAAAAAGAGTGCTAACTACACTTGTGGAGATTGCGATAGGATGCAACAAATACGAGAATGTTATGTTTTCGTTAAAGGACATATTGCTCTTGCGATCGTTCTTCATTATACAAAAAACCAACGAATACAATCTGCTGATATATATCTTGAAGGATGTCTGCTTGCAAAAGAATGTTACTTGGTCTTGCAAGCATTTTCCAACTTTTATGAATACCGTACTTGACCATAAGGTAGTAATGAGTATAATGTTATTATATTATTATAAGATATGAGGAAATATTTATTAGTATTTTTTTTTATTATCATTTTTATTTTTCATAATTTTTTTTCCACAGTTGATAACTCCGGATAATTTGATGAACATTGTCTACATCCCCTATCTAATTGATAGCAGTTTCCACTACTTCAACTTTCTCTGCATACTGATGCATATATATGATATCGTGATGGAAAGAGTTTGCACTCCCAAAATGGATTACCCACTACTGATCATAGCGTTAACTAAGAAAATGTCGTTGATAAGAAGATGCGAGCCAACCTGCTTAAGAAGCATTATTCACGACTTGATAAATCATATAACGCGCATATTGAACGCCTTGTTTTATATTCCGAATATACTAACAGTGAATCAACAGCGCGAAGTGATTGACGCAATTGATGACTGCGTGGAGCCAATCGATCGGGCGCGACTGTCACCTCTGTGGCATATACTCAACGGCAGTATCTTGGATATAATCCAGGATTATGAGAGACGTTGCTTCATTATACATCGACGACTACGCACAGATCCGCGATGCGAACCCAAATTACGCGAGCATATCCAATCCTTTCGACTCGATCGGGAAAGTTTTCTACGTCACATGATTTTGCATGCCACCGAAAAGGAATACGAAATTTTCGCGCTCGAATTGACAACGATATTCTGGTGCAATTTTGGTTGGACCGACGAGATGGAGGCTTACGAAAATGTGCTGCGGATCACTGGCGAGGCAGCGCAACTCGCTTTGATATTTGATAACACGTTTCCCAATGATACGTTCGTATCGTTGATACGCGCTCTTGTGAACTTTTGCGACGTGTTTGCGCACATCAATCACAATACGAACGATCAACAAGTGGCGATCCGCCGTATCCTGCTAAAAACCTTGCACTCTTTAAAAGATACGACTGATAGAACATGCCTCGGTCAAATGTATGGCTTCTTGCTTGCACGTATCAAGGATATCTTAATCAAGAATTCATATTCATATATAGATCGTTATTTTCATGAGGTCAACGACTGGATCGACGTGTACCTTGTTCGATGCGAGGGACTAATGACGCCTATAAAAGAATCTGAAAAGTGAGTATAAACGTAATATATATATTTCACTTTAAATATTGTATAATTTTATTTCATTTAATATAATTTTTTTCATGTATTATAATAGTGATTTTCATTTTTTATATATTTTTAAATTTATTTCAATTCCTTTTTTATCATTTCCATTATTTAATTTTAAAATAAAAGAACAGAAAACAATAAATTTTTAAAATATTAGATTTTTGTCAGAAAAAAGAATTATATATATATATATATATATATATATATATATATATATATATATATTGTAGAATAAAATATACAAAATAAAAAAGGAGAAGGTGATAATATTGTAAAATTTATATATTTTAGCTCAAGCGATTCAGATGATGAGAAGAGTTTGAAAGACACAAAAGTACTAGACGAAGCTCGCAAGTTAACTAGCAAAGAAATCGATATGTTTAATTCCTACAAGTTTGTGTCCGAATGCATCAAGATATCCAATAAAGGGACACATCGTTGCATCGAGCGAATACGGGATATTATATTAGCTAAAAAGGAAATATAATCTTAGTTTAAATAATGTGTAAAAACAATATTCGCATACTTCGATGTATATTCGATTTTATATAAAAAAGTATATATGACATTGTCGTAAAGTATTTCCATTAAAATACATCTTATTTTCTCAATTGATATATTGAATAAGACACTTTACAACAACGTTTTTCTTTTTTACGTGAAATTGAGAAAGACGAAGTATGCAAATACACTTTACATTATATTTAATATTGATATTTTTTACTATTAATATTTTTTTACCATTGATCGCACTATATAATTATTTACTCGCAAAAAAATTTAAGATTAAACGTTTTAAAAATTTTATAAAAATTTTTAATAATGTAAAAAGATATCTGTGAAAACATTTTTTAAATTTATACGTTATTCAAGGAAAATATGGTATTCTTTTAAAATAATGCATTGCTAAATATTTTTTTGAAATTTTTAAAACATTTAATCGATTTCACGAGTCTTTAATAATTATTTTTCTAACGAATGCTACAATATACAAATTGTTCTATACTTACCATTAAGTAGCGAAATAGTGAAACGAATATCACATAGAAACGAGATGAGAAAAATATTTTGAAAGAACTTTCCTTTGAGAGAACTATTGAAAAGTATTGTGTGATCGTATTTTTCTACTTTTGTTTACAATTATTTTTTAAAAATAATTATTTTTTAAAAATAATTGTAATTACTTGCACAAATTATACAAATATACAAATAATTACAATTTGTAATAATTACAAATGTTATTATTTATATATAATTATAGAGGTATTGTAACTATAATCAATGTAGTTTCGTATTTATTTGTATTTTGCTTTGCAAAAAAATTTGTGTGAAGAAAAAAAAGAATTATCTTGTAAATAATTCTGAAAGATTGCAGTTTTGCAATATACCATATTTTTCGTTAGTTTCTTTTGTAGCACTGATTTTTACCTACCTCGGAACAAATATGTTAATTTTCGTATATATATCGATTAAGTGATAATTTAGCAATAATCTTACAAGATAGTCGTGTAAGGAGACAGAAGACAATGAAAGAATGCTCAATTGCGCAAAAAAAAATAATTTAAAGAGATAAACGTCATACTTTATATAAGAAGACGGAAACAAACAAATTATACAATCGCGTAAATTTTTTTTCCAAGAATTATTCGCAAGGAATTTGTACTCTGATTCGATTATTTTTATATCATATGAAAGATTCCATGCGTAGAAGCATCTCTTTAGCTTTAACAGGAAAACTACTGAGTCGATATATTATTGTATATATATAGGAAAAAATACATTACAAGCAATCATTTTAGTGTGACTTTTTTTTAAAATACCGCTTGAAAAGTTTTTCGAAAAATTCAAAATCCAATATGCTTGATACATATGATTGTATACATACAAGTCAGTCAAAAGTCGAATTGAGAGAAATCGAAGTAAGAAGAATCAAGTGTCAATATAAATCATATGTCTCGAATAGGAGATAATATGTATTAATTTATTTTGTACACACGCGCGTTATTTAAGATGATTATTTTTGTTTTCTATATTTGATAAAAACTTTTATTACTATAAAAAAAAATTACGAAGTATTTGATTATTTAAATTAATTAAAATAAATTAATTAAAAAATTTATATTTTTTTATTAATTTAAAAATCACATAATCTTATAATCTACGTAATAATAAATTTATATTTTATTAATATTTTTTATTATATATAATTATATAATAATAATTTATATTAATATTTATATTAATAAAATATATTATTATAAATTATTAATAAAAGATATTTATAAAGAGATTTATTATAATTAAAGAGATTTATATTTTATTTTAATATTTAATTGTTTTATCAGTTTAACAATATTTTAAAGGTTTCTTTTTAATATTTTCATTTTAATCATTGATAAGATCTCATCGAGTACTTATTCAAGTTAATATTAATGATTTTTTCGCGATTGTCTCACAGAACATGATTCTATCTTGTGTATTTAATGAATATTATATAGGAGTTGCACTGATGATTGATTAATAAAATACACGTGAAAAAAATGCAAAATGAAATATAAAAGGATTTTATTTTAAAACATATATGTGATCGTTTTAATCAAGAACTTCTTTCTCCTTAAATCACAAAATCACGATATTAAATTTTTTTCATCATCTTACAAACTGAATTATGATTACTCAACTAATATCTCATAAATTCGATATCATTACAACGGAAATATTATGCTGCGCGAACGATCCTCACTTAAGAATAACTTAAACCGATTTCCCCGTAAACAATTTAAAGATTTAACATAACATATTTCAGTTAAATTGCGACTTCAAGCAAAATCGATCGGAAAAACAAAATTATAAGTAGATATATACTATTTTTATTATCGCATGTCAAATCGGTAGCAAACTAATCTCGGTTTCAGAATTCTAATCTCATTATATTTGATAGCGCCAAATGCCTATTGTTGCAATGGTTAGTAAGTGAAAAAAAAGAAAAAAAAAACTTGCGAATAAAGAGAAAAATGTGCACTAATCTCTACTCTGACTTTTCATCTTTGTAAAGCTAGAAAAATTTACATCTCGATGGGCACAACTTCAAATCTGATCTGATTTGATATTTTTGCAACGAGCGAGACAATTTCAAGCTAAAAAAAATTTCGTCAATCGAGTAAAATAAAAAGAAAAATCGCGATAATCATTCTCTAGTCGAAAAATATCCGAAGATTGCTTTATAAGTGCCTTACTCGTTCATGACTAGATTCCCATGCTGGTACTTCAACGTAAAAGCCTATTAAAGCCAATTATTTGGTATCCATTTAACTAATTCGTCAAAGATGCTATCTTAAATATTTTAATTTTTCGAGTGAAAATATTTTTAAATAATTCGGACATAAGAAAAAATTTTTCGTAGGAAAATATATCTTGTAATAATTGTGAAAAACAGACTATCTCTACCGTTATAGGAAAAGAATGAAACAAATTGACGCAGAAAATTACTACAATGAAAAAGCTTTGCAAGAATAATTGAAACATTCTAGTTTCATTTGCCCACATGGATGATTCTTATAATTATAATAAAGCATTTTGCACAGCCGCGCACGAAAAAAAAGAGACTGCACTCGGTTTATTATGCACATTTTTCTTTTGTTTCGCTATAAGAGATATTCACTTCGAAATATTTCATCTCCTCTGAAGTGTTTCAAGATAATTAGCTTTTATTATGTATACTTTGACTCGCTATATAATATATTTACAGATTCTTCACATTGTAAAAAATATATAACGTATTTCGTACTCAATATATCAGATACGCAGGTAGTAGTACTGAAAGGCCGATATACACATATCTAAATCGTGGTGTTTTTCCTGCTCTTTCTTTTTTTTCTCTTTACTCCAATTATTAATTAATATATATATGTGTGCGTGACCCAGTTGCATAACAAATGCGCACGTATGTATCGCCAACTGTACGCGAATTGTCGTATTATACACATCTTTGTATATCGCATCGCGACGTTTCACGATGTTCCTTCGACACATAGGAAGATAATTAATTCGCCGATCGTTAAGTAAAATTTCAAGGAGAGAGAAACAATTCTGGTCCTTAGGTGTATGATATGCTGGCCGTCACCAGGACTCCAGCGCGATCCTTTCTTGACGCTTTTCTCTGCCGACGATAGCTCCCCAAATAAACATTAGAATTTATTATAATTAGAATTCGTTTTTCTTATTACAGATCTCTTGCGATAACAATTTTCTGATGCCGCCTTAGAAAAATAGCGCATGCAATCTTGAGAGTTGGACGCGCGAGAGACACGTGGCACGGCTCTCTTACTCTCTCTCTCTCTCTCTTTCTCCTCCTACAAATATATAAATAGATTTTTCAAGTATATCAAATACTTGGTGAGCTATCTAGGCAGACGACGGCCTTGTGCGTCCTTTGTGTTTCGTGTGTATATGTACCTATTACAAGGTATTATAACAGGACGAAAAACGTAAGAAGTGTGCTACACAAGTCAAGTGATGACGGTGATTTTAAAACGCTTTACAAAGAGGCCCTTCGATCGAAGCCGAGAAAAGGCTTCGATTATTGTTATTCGATATACAAAAGGTGCGGAGTTACGTGATCACAGCGAGATGCTAAAAATTTTCCACGAGACCATGACAAAGTAGTTGGCTTAAAGCGAAACGTTTCGTTCCTTCGTCTTTGAACCACAAGATAATTCGCGACCGCAGTTTCCGGCGCCAGCCTCGTTAATTTCCTTTTTTCTTGCCTTTTTTTTTAACATACGAGGCTCCGGAAAGAAAGAAAAAAAAAAGAATACAGAGAGTGCCGTTCAAAGATTGTGCATCGATAGCGCTCTTTCACAATATTTAAAATTCAACACATGTTCTCTCTCTCAAAGTATATGAACCTCCTCCCAAAAATATCTAAGATCGACCTAACTACCAATCGTAGAAATACTGTACATCAGTTCATTATTTTGTTCTTTTTTTAGTGTTTTATTTAGCTCTTAATTTTTCCGCAATTTCCCTCTAAAGTACCGAAAAATAGTATTGCGCGTATACGATTGAAACAATACACGCATTAAAATTATAAATTAAAATACGGAGGCTATACAAATTATAAATCTTTTCGCAAAACAATATCTTTCAATACGATCGCCAAAAGGATGATGAGAGACTCTAGTTTATATTTCTATTTTGCTTATTTAACTCTTAGATACAACGAGCTTGCTAAAAGATTGTTCACAAAAAATTTAAAATCTGAAAAATCGACAAATTGAATATTGTCAGAAGATAGATTTGGGACTTCTCTAAAAATTAAATTCAGAGAAAGATTTTCAATCTCGGAAAGTTTTGGAAATATAAAAAAATAATAATTCTTTTATACATCCAAGAGTTAAATAACAACGCATCAAACTGAATAACACATAACCACTGTTGTTACGCTGTGTTTATCGCTAGAAATGATATTTAACATCAGATAATACGATTGATCACACACGAGAAATATTACACACACCTTATCACTATTACGGTTCACGAAATCGACTAAATGATTAAAAACTATCAAGAACTGATTACTGATATGATGCGAAAGAGAAACAATTTTTGTCATTTATATATTATGAAGAGGATGCAAGTAAAAGTATAATTATTATTACACTTTTTTTTATATTTTATAATTATATTTTTCACATTAGTTTCTTATGTGCTCTGAATTTTAAATTTATTTATATTGCAATTTTGTCGATAAAAATAATGTATTACTTGCATCCTCTGAGATAACGAAAAATATGATTATAAAAATTTATAAAATTTTGTAATTGCATATCTTTAGAATTAAAGAATAATTTTACATTTTTGATAGTAAATTAATAAGTGACAAAATTGACAAAATTTTTGAAGCACTTGATCAATTTTACGTTACTTACGAGAAAGAGAATTGTCGTGTACTAAATTCTTTTTACATGCATCAAATTTTTGCACTTGCAAATTCAACGATATTTCATACAGTAAAATTGTGGTTTTTTTCTTTGAAAGCAATAAAAAGTACCGTAATTGCAGTTCTGAATATTTTCAATTAATAATCATTTGATACTTTTGTAAATATCTTTAATTAATGTTCCATTATTACATAGAAAATTTTTTTAATGAAGTATATTTAGATTCTACAATTTTTTATGTAAAGAGATACAAATAATGTTTCTCAAAAAAAATTTATAAAGATTTTATTCTCATTTGACATTATGGAGATTCTGTAATTTTTGAGATTCTATTATTATTTATCATTATAGAAATTTTGTGATTTCTGAGATTACGATACTTTTCATATTGGTGTTGTCATTATCAACAATAAATAGTAATACGCATTTACAATTTGCAGTTGAAGGGATCAGTGCGAATTCCCGCGATTTTTTTCAAACTCTATTATGAATAAACTATTGTGCTCTGTCATTGGTGTGTAAAATCACTCGTTATAAAGTCATCAATCCCGTAACAATCAAGTTAAACGTGCAGTCTTGCAGTTTATACAATACAAACTTTTTTTTACCGTACAAAGCTTACAAATTACAAGTTTAGATTGACATTATTACGTTAATTAGCCTTACGAAACGTTCCTCTTAATTATTCCTATCATGTGTCACAACAGTCTGCAATTTTGTTACATTCTAATAAATTAAAGGTTGTCTTTGACTTTTGACCTTCAACTTATTAAAATTCGATTTTATATCACTATTATAGTTTGCTTTGTTTCTTCCGCATATTAAAGTCTACAAATACAGTATTGCGCTGTAACAGACATTAAAGCAAAATCAAAATAGGTATTAGTATTTGCTACACAACGGATCACAAGAAATCTCACAACAAATTGAGTTATTCTTTAATCATTAGAATGTCGCATATAAAACTTCATTCTTCTAGTGTCTTTCTTTCTTGCGTGCAATAAAATAGTTAAGTGATAAGACTATACAACCAATATATAGGATGTTTTGATTTTTAAAGTATATATATCTTGGAATATTTTAAAATGTTTCGAAAAGAAATTATTTAAAGGCAAATGCTACAATTAGAATGTCTCTCTAATTCAACATCCCATTTCTTTGAAACATCTTTTTGTATTTTTAAGAATCAAAGATATTTATCGGATGATTAAATTAGATGAAACATCCTGTACATTAATGTCTCCAACAACGTTTCCAACAAAAACGTTTAAATGATGTCTCGCTCTCTCGTTAATCAGCCTCCTTAGCTTAAATTAAATATAGAACAATTGCACAAAGAAGAATGTACTCTCAAAACCAAATCACTTTCGTACTATCTTTTAATGAGATGGATCGTGTAACCTTCGCACTACTACTGCAAGCAAATCATGCGATATATCCTATTAAACTTTCGCTCTCAAACTTAGCCCCTTATCGCTGAATCTATCACCGTACAATAAGTCGACCATCACAGTGATTCCTTGAAAGTCTGCGAGTATTTCCTCTTTTTTTCTTAGCACAGCACCCAGTCTCAATTTGTGAACCAGAACGCAAAACCTACATGCGACAATTTTATCTGAAATTGAGCAGAAAGCCAATATCGAGTTTGGTTTTACGGTTTTCGACACTTCTTTTCTCACGCGAGCGGAGTATTGGTCCTTTTGCCGAGGAAAAGCTACCTTGCGCTCGCTTTCTCTCTTTCTTAAATCTATATTATTTATATATATATATATATATATATATATATATATATATATATATGTATGTATATGTATATGTATATATATTACAATAATATTACATACAATAATACTATATTCGCGTATAATAAAATATCTGTGTTTAACGGCCGCCGCTTGCCGGACGGTCTTCCGAGTTAGAAAAGGAGAGAATCATAGTCCTCCGTTGAAAAATTCATACAACGTTCAATACAAGTTAGTCTTGGTAGATGTGCTGCACACTGCGTAAAGATTTCCAGGTCTAAATGATTTTCAATCGAAGATCGAAGAAGTTCCCAGGGTCGAAGGGATTTTTGGACCGAAAAGATTTCCAAGGTTGAAGATATTTCCAAGGTTGAAGATATTTCCCAGATCCGAGGAATTTCCAGAAGAAAGATCCTCCAGGAGGGCAACACACTGACGAGGTCTGTCCAAAAGCCACTATACAACGTATCTCTCCTTGGCATATATCCCTGCCTCTCCACGACTCGAAAAAGGGCTGCGAAGGAAAGTTCCAGGATAACCGGCAACGAAGCACGCCGATGAAGAGGAGAACGACGAGCTCTTCCTCCTAACATCGCAATAGACACTGTACACACTGTACTATATTTTCCTTCACCTAGTTCGGCCCGCGGGTAAATAATCCGGGCCATCGGGGATTTTGATTAAGTATTAGAGGACGCTGCAGCAGCAGTAGGTCTTCTTCTCCTTCTCGGGGCTGAAGTTCATCTCCCGCACGATCTCGGCGAACATCTCGTTGACGTTGGTGCGATTCTTGGCGCTCGCCTCGACGAACGGGCAGCCCCAGAGCTGCGCGAGCTGGTGGCCCTCCTCGGTGCCGACCTCCCGCTGATGCTCTAAATCGAGCTTGTTCGCCACCAGCAGCACCGGCACGCGCTCCGTGCCCTTGACGCGCGTGATGAGCTCCTTCATCGCCTTGATATCCTGGAAGGTCTGGTGATTCGTCAGGCTGTAAACGACGACGAAGCCCTGGCCGTTCTTGATGTATAGATCGCGCATCGACGCGAACTGCTCGGTGCCCGCGGTGTCGAGGATCTCGAGCACGCACGGCGAGTTGTCCACTTCGATCTCCTTGCGGTAGAAATCCTCGATCGTCGGATCGTACTTTTCCATGAAGCAACCGGACACGAATTGCACCGTGAGCGCGCTCTTGCCCACCCCGCCCGAGCCGAGAACCACCACCTTGAACTCGCGCATCTCGTCGTCGTCGTCGGCTCCTCCGCGCCTCCTTCTACGCCGTCGCCTCCTCCTCCTCTTGGACGTGTCCAGGACCGCGCCGGGGTGTGGAGCGCCGTTTCACCCGAGATAGGCAGAGAAGACACACACGCAGGAGAGACAGAGAGAGAGAGAAAGACACGGAGGGAGGAGAGACAGATAGACGGAGAAAGAGAATAGAGACTGGAATGAGACAGATTATCGCACCTTCTCTCGCCAGCGCAGAATACACACTCGAGCACTTCACCTACCAGCCAGGCTAAAGAAACGAGACTCCCCTCGTCCTCGTCGTCGCCCCCGTCCTCGCCCTCGTCGTCCTCGTCCTCGCCTCGTCGCGACGACAATCCGCGCCCGTCCTCCTCCGTCCGGCCGCGAACAAAGGCATCGACGACAAGAGTTACGCCGAGTCGGAACTGTCGAGCGAGAAGCGGCGAGACGGATCACGCGACTCGAGAATCGACCTGCGCCGCCTCGTTGCAAGGCTGCCACGATATTACGCGGCTACGCGAGGACATGACGATACCGGGGCCCGACACCGCGCGCTTTATACGTAAGCACGTACATGGAAACGACGACGACACACTCGCTCTCTCGGCTCTGATCCGCCTGCCTGCCTGACTGCCTGCCTGCCTGTCTTTCCGTCCGTTCCCGTCTTCCGTCCCGTGGCTCGTCGCTGTCGTCGTCTTGTCTGCCTCCTCTCCTCTTCCTGCCCCCGCCCCTTCCCCTCTCCCCGCCGCACGTCCAGCCCGTTCAACCCAGCAGATCTGACGTGAGCGACGCCGCCATCTTATCGCCGCCGCTAGACTTTTCTTCGAACGAACGTCACGTCAAGTCGATGGGTCATCGACTACGCGAACTATGCTAGATGTCACGCGCGAATGAGCCTCCATTTTCTCTCCCCCTTCACTCCTTCGCGACGCGGCGAATGTATCGCACTTTTTGGTCTCTCGCGCGAGGTATGAATCACTTACTTTATTTCGGAAAATCTTTCATGTAATTTGTATAGTAACGATTTAGAATAATGTTTATTAAGACATGAAATTTAATAATTTCTTAAAAATAATTTTATTGATTCGATTTTATTGTATCGCATCTTTAATTTCATTATTTGATGATTTTTACGAGTATCATGTAATTCAATCATCTTTCAAGGCATATCTTCCGATTTACGCATGTAACGCATAGACTGCATTACTGTTGCGCAGCGCTTCGAAATCGTTCCGTTTTATCAATATGCATGAAGCGCTTTAATTATTCGGAACGGTGTCTGCGAATTCTATGCGCTAATACGATTTGAAAATGGTACAATAATTTGAAAAATAAATAAAAATATAATAAAATATTAACTACAAATAAAATAAAAAATAAATAATAAATATAAATAAAAATTAAAAAAAAATAAATAATAATAAATATAAACAAAATTAAATAATAAATCGAGGTAAAATAATATATTAATATTAGCTTGGCTTGCTTTCTTCATATCATTTTTATTTAAAAACAAAGTTATTATTTCATTAGTCTCTTCAATTAAAACTGGAAATTCATGTAATTGTTTTTTCATCGTCACAAAGAGTCTGTTATCCATTATTACGTTTCGAACTACGCATGAAACGCATAGATCGCATAAATGCATCAATGCATCACTGCCTCAAGTCGAGAGGGGTGGAATCTGATTGGCCACGTCGCCAATTGGTCAATTCAAAATAGCACTCTCTGATTGGTTAGGTTAAGTAATCGTTGCTGGTTACCCTAGGCACACGTCGATATAATTGGCTGTAGTCAAACGGGACGCTCCCAGTCGAGAGTAGATTTGCTTTGAAACATCATTCTATCTTTGTTCTACATTCCATGAGAATAAAGATAATGATGTTTCGCAGCATTCATAGTGCAGTCTTGACCGCAGCCAAGGAATGACGGTAGATGTACATACAATTATATAATATATAATTATATTTTTTAAATTTCTGTGTTTAGATCATCCTAAAAAAAGAGAGAGATAGTAGGATAAAAAAGACTATTTTTTATTAACAATAATAAACGACAATAAATTTTACGTTTATCAGGAAAAGCCATACACTTCAAGAAGCTGATTGATCGACTTGAAATCCGACCAATAATGGCGCGACCGCCAAAATGACCGCAAGTTTTGTTTTTTTCAGTTACACTTTTCGCACATGAGGTGTTACCTAATTTTCTCATAAAAGATAAGATTAGATAAAAGATAAGATGATAAGATTAGGCAGATTGAGATGCCGTCAGCTATATTTCATATATTAATGACCCTTTGTTCTCTTAATTTTTCTTCCAGGATCTATCGTTCCGCGAGTGCAAAACGAGGCGTATACGTTGGTTGTGTTCCAAAATTCACTGCCAGTACTGAAAATATATAGTTTACGTGATGTACATTATAGATTTTCAGTACTGGCAGTGAATTTTGGTACACAGCCGTAGAAGAGGCAGATTCGCGATTCCTGGCGAAGTGCGGAAAACGATCAAGCGAGGGAGGAGTCACCCTTCATCGCCGGATGCGAGTGTCACTCTCTCTTATCTGCCAGACAACGCTATCCACGACCTTGCCAACTCATAAGTAAGAAGCAACCGAGTGAGTCGTATTTCGTTGCAGTTGTTTTAGAATACGATATAGGCTGTGTATTCATATGTCGACGTCACGTGTATGCGTTTACTTGTAAGTGATGCCAGGATTACAATGGGCGTAAACAGCACCGTGCATACTATAGCTCCAAAATGAATGAGAATTTTAAGCGAGTCACATGTTCATTGATAAATAGTCGATGGAAATATATAGTATTAAAGATTCGTGATTTTAATAATATATGTATAATATATGTGTAATATGTGTTTGTATGTACACATATATATATGCATACACGGCATATTTTCTGCGGAATAAACAGGTTAATTGATCTTTCATTTACAGAATTGCACTAGTATAATTTTCTAAATACTACTTGAAATAGTGCATTACGAGCATGGGAACATTATAACAATGAGCGTTTTAATGAGTAATTTACACTGTGCAACTCGGGTGCATCACAAATGAATTGTGACGTAGAGGTTTATAAAAAGCGCACATAATTATTTCAATTTCAAGACGATTTCCACTCTAAGGAAATATAATTATATTAAAGATGTGAAGAGAGAGAGGGAAATATATAATAATATAATAAATAATATATAATAATATAATATAATATATAATAATAAAAAATATATGATAATATAATATATAATAAATAATAACATATTTAATGTAACGTTTGATTTCCGTTGAAAGAACGTAAAGCTATATTATATAATATTATATTCGTCATCCCAATTAAATATAAAATTGTATAAAATCTCCAAGTTTCTTCGTATCGAATGTTCTACTTTGATAGGTTTCGGCGTAGACTAACGTTTTTAGTCTAATCGCGAGCTACACACAATTACTTTCTTCTCGCTTAACATACGCGACTATCATATAATCATCGAATAACTGATTCATCTCTCGCATTACGAATTATCCTCGATGACGAATTCACACTGACGAATAATTTCCATGAATATCGGTCATGTGATAACGCAATCTCGCGAAAGCTAAAGAGAAATAGAGATAGAAATAGATAAAAAAAAGAAAGAGATATGAAGATTAATGCATGATATTTTAATTATTGAGATAATTTTTAATCGAGTCTTTGCTTCACCTCTTGCTTCACTTACAACTGCAGTATATTTTTAAAGATATGGACACAATCATCAATCATTCAGATGTATGTGTAATAAAATTTTAAAAAAAATTCCTTTTTTTGTTAATTTAAGATTTTCTTATATAATTATCTTAATAAATTATCTAAATAATATAAATAAATTATCTAAATTATCTTAATAATCTCTTATTATTACTATCTTATTATTATTAAACTATATTATTATTATATTATTATATATTATGCATACAATATTATGCATATAATTTATTTATTAATCGTATCAATTTTTACCTGTATGATAATTTTGTGGTATACATTTAATAATTTAATAAAATAATCATAAATAATAAATAATTGGGAATAATTAGCCATAATTAATTTTAAATTGTTAAGTGTATACATCAAAATAATAATAATAAAGTAAGTTTATTATAGTAGGATTTGTTCGCTATATGTATACTGATCGCTTTTAGCATTAGGTATTACATTTCCTGCATTTTATCTTTTAATCTCCTTTCGTCTCTTTCCTACTCCCTCCCTCCTTTCCTTCCTCCTCTTCGTTCTTTACACTTATTCCGTTTTAAAATGCTGAAAACACAATAGACTGCAGACTGAAGCGAAATCCGACGCGTGAGCGCATCGAGAATCGCAAGTAGATGGACATCTCGAAATAGGTCGACGAAAAATTGGCGGCGCTTAGGGCGGGAAGTCGGAGGACACGCGCGGTGCCGCAAGACGAGGCATGCTCGTTTCCCGTTGTTTCGTTGCCGGTTTGCCCGTTAGTTCGTTCCGCCGCCCGGATCCCCGTTTTCGACGTCCGTTCACGCGCCATTCTTCCACGTGAGTGCAAAGATCGTGCTTCTAATCGCAAACGCTTTTCGCGCGAACAATACGCAAGCACTGCGTCCAATTTGTAATGTTGCTTTTTCGCACTATCCCTGATAATGCGACGAATTTTTAATGACATTTTCATGAGCGCCTCTTAGAAATTTTTATTTCGTTTATATTAGTATTAAATAATGAAATATTAATTATTGATTTTATATTATTTATTATTTTATTTGTTATATATTATTTCATTAATTATTTATATTATTTTATCTTTGACGTCTAATTTCAAAGAGATTTCCCATCAACTTGAAACCGACAGTCTATCTCTAAGATTTTTAAAGATAATATCGTGAATTTTTATTCTACTTACGAGATCCGAGAGCTTAATGAATTATGTCGAATTTAATAAGATCTTGGTTATTGCTTGAAATTCCATCGTTTCGGATCAGTCACGAGCTTTGATTTTGCAATATCGCTGTCACTATTGTTAGAATACATCGGTTCTGATGATAAATATAGATAAGATGCTAAAGAGGCGCTCGTGCAAAGAGCAACGTGTTTCTTACTCTTACTCCCTATCTCCTTTCCATAAAAACGGAAGTACATATTATTATCGTATCTATCGTATATTATCTGCTCTTTTGAGTACGCGTAGCACGCATCTGTGTGCATATACACAAAATAATTTCTATATCGCTTAAAACGAGTAGGTGCGATTGCAACTGCGCTTTCACGTGACATTTTCAGCGGTTAACTTTTTTTTTCGCCAGAACCATGTCTCTCGAAATATCACGGATCAGGTTAGTCGGAATAAACGTGACATTAAAATAATAGAGCGACGCACACGCGCGCGTGATAAAATACATTGCCACTCATAAATCATAAGTACTTTATTCAAGATTATTCATCCTAGCACGCACTAATTTTGATTATTACTGCACTGTGTTACCCATTTAAACAAAAGGAAAAAAATTATTTGACTATATTTTATATACAACAAGTTTGAAACAAACAAGAAAAGAAATTTTAAAAAATTAAAATTTCATATTATTTAAAAAAACATAAATATGTTATTAATTTTAAATAATAATAATTGAGGTTATTTTATTCCGTATTTTATATTTTTTTGCATGAGAAATCACCTTCTTTGTCATCCTTCATCATCTTGTAGAAAAATAATTTTAAATTCTGCAAAATAAAAGCTTAATAAATACTTGTGAGTGGTAATATATTTTAAAATTGCAATAATTTTTTTATAAATTTACAATTAAGGAGAAGAAGCGAAGAAACGGTTGCTGGGGGCGAAAAAACGAAGGATCGATCCTGATTCGGTCCCGCGACCTTGCGGTATGCAAGACGCAGTCTCTCCTCGCACACATGAGAAACGGATGACATCATCATCGATGAAAGTGTACATAACTGAGCAATGCATCACACACTTTGCTTGGCCACTGTAAACCACTGATCGAAGCGTTTGCTTAACTCGAAATCTTTCCCTCCGTCCGAATGAAAAATATGTCAAAAATGCGGTACCTTCATAAACATCTAAAAGTTTCAGACATATTTAAATATTTTTTTTAAACAAATTTTATGATTAAAGTCTCTTTTCTTTTAGTGAAAAATTCATAAGCGAATCATTTATTGCAAGCTCTCTTTTTCTAGTTAATCACTCAGTTTAATTTTAATTATAAGTTAATTATAAGTCTTGATTATGAAGTCTTTCAATGAAATCTTTGTTAAGATAAAATTAAATTTCAAAATTATATTTGATGAATAAAATCTTCCTTTGTCTGCTTCATCGCTAGAATTTTTTCATCTTTCAATCGTAAAAATTTCATTGCATAATTAACTAAATAATGTGTAATTCAAGTATAATATTTGATATAGTATTTGTATGAGAATTACTATAGCAAACATCAAAAAAATGATTGAGAAGCATTTTTGACATACATTTGACTGCGCCCGAGAGTTTTATCAGTCCTTGGACATTTCATAGATTGGGCGCATTCAGCGAATTCCCATTTCCGAGGTGCACAATTGCGATTCGTATCTCCCTTTCTTTCTCGCGGATTCCAATTACAGATACACACGAGGACATTATCGAGGTGTTTATTCATTGATAACGAGTATAGGTAATGTAATAGTTTACGGGGTCGCATAATAAGCGATGATCGATGAGCGCCTCGGATAAAGAACGACTTTTAAGAGGGACTGCGACACAACACGGAACGACTGGGTGATAGTTTGAAAAGGGCATGAGTCATATGAATCTCAAATCGACTGGTTTCTCGATATTCAAAGTATATAATCACAGTTTGGATCGCGTACGAGGACACGTGTCAATATGGAGATTAAAGTGTTTGTTGAAATGACATTTCACAACGAACGAGATGAAGAGCATTGTCCCTGATATTGTTATCTTTAATTAGCATCAGATTCATGTAGAGGAATCGTTAATCTTCGTTATTACATTATCTTAAACTATTATTATCAAAAATAAAAAATTAATAAATTAATAAATTAACAAATTTTAGAATTAGGAATTTATTATATTATATATAGTGTATATACAATATACGGCACACACAATGAAATGATATCGATTTGACTTACATTCACTTGCATAAAATCATATAATCCATGTAACTAAAAAAATTGCTGATTTAAATATTTTTAAAAGAATATTCAATTCTCTTTGGTTTACACTTTGACATTTACTTTCCGCTCCAAAATATTGAATTAATAAAATTTATTAATTCAATAATGAATTAATAAAATTATGTAAAATACCACACACAAGTAGGATTTTTATCTCTCTTTTATATCTTTTTTACTTATTTATATTTATATTATTTACATCTTTGTTCATTTTTTTAAAGGAACGTTACAATTAATAAAATTTATTGAAAAATAGTACATATTACTTAGAATTTTACAATTTATATAAAAAATTCAGGATATATCTCTAAAGAGAAAACTTAAAGTATATAATCTGAAATCTAATCATAGTCAAATAATTTTCCGGGAAATCAACGTTGAGTCAGATATTGATCATTAAATATGGGTCCAATATAAACACAGATTTCGTTTGCAGATGCGTGACATCTTGTAAAAATTGTAGCGAAAAAAATCATCGAGGTCATATATACATACATCATGCATATACACACATATGAAATGAATGTCGAACGAGGAAACCATCAATTGGGCTTTATAAAACCTTTATTCAAGGCTGTTAAAAAGTAGTACAATCCGATATAATGCTCACGTGGGGCACGTCCAGTGACGTAGGCAACCTGGCGATTTCGTCTTGCTCCAGTGATTCACGAGATGCAACAGAATTCCGTTATAATTCCGGTGTAAAAATAGCTCATAAAAACGATTCTTGTAAATCGCAGTTTTTCCTCATCTTGCTTATGAAATACTTTACTCGATTTAACAACTTATTTATATTTTCAGTATAAATTTTTTTGCTTAATATATATGCGAATGATAATTTATAATTAAATAATTGTTCACTTTTATATAAAAATTTCGATTATACACATATACGTACATACACTATATAATATATATGTAAAAAATTCTAAATAATCATGCATAACATATAAAAATATTTTAATAAAATTATGCGAACCTTAAATCTAATACATTAATCAGATATATAAATTCTACGATGAATGTGTTGAATAGTAAACAATTAAAAATAATTAAAACGGATATAATAAATTCATGATAATTCATGATAATCAACTATTGTAAAGCAAAGTATTGATAATGGTCATTGCGCTCGCTTTTAAGTATTTAATCTCTGATTATCTTTCGTAAATTCCACAATAATTAATGATTCTTCAAAGTGAAATAATTTTATATAACAACTGACTTGATTTTATTTTTAAGTACCATTTGATTGATTGAGTCACAAGCATGCAAGCGATCTTGTAAAAGTGCAATTAAATATATTCTACATTTTAATTCAATATTCCATAAATTTTCTTGTTCTAAATTTTTTACATTGTAAACTTTATATAATTTTTGACACTTTTATTATAGAAATAATAAATTAATTAATTTCTAGAAATATATAAGCATTCTTGCGTACTATATTAAGAATAGATATTAAATGTGAATCTCTAAAATATAAAAATATAATAATTGGCAGATATATACATATGTGTTTAATAGATTTCTATTCCAAAATATTCTATATAAAAATCCCAAGATTTTCTGTTGATTTCTCCGAATTATGCGTGACAAACATCCTAGATTAAAGAGAAGAAAAAGAATAAGAGCCTCTCCTTTTTACGGAATTATTTAAATAAAAAAAATGTATTCTCTTTACCATGAGACTCTGTCTCTATAAATAATAATCAAGGAAATCTTCCAAAAATATTTTAGCAGTTAATGACTGTACTGCTACCAATTTAGGCGTAACAAATCGTGAAACAAAGGACGGTTATCAATGACGAGAGAGAAAGTTTTATCAACGAGACACCCGAGATCTTCTATACATTCCATACATGCGGTTGCATGCGTATACATGCATATTACATGCATACATATGCATTACAATGACCTTTAAGAGGCGAATACCGCGAGCGCGGCAGGGACGATGACCCAACAATTTCAACAACGTAAACAGTATCGCAGTATATGTATATGCGAACGAGTATCATCGTATCGTACGTGAACAAGCAGCCTCCGTCATCGGTTGACTTGTTCGGGAACTAGTACTTCCTGATGGATCTTCTCCGTCGGTAGAGATGCAAACATTTATTTTTTAATATTATTTTTATTTGGCATAGAGAGTTTTATTTTCCACATGTTTGCGTAATTACAAAGCTAGTCGGAATTCTTTACAAGAAGAGCTATTACAAACTCCATCTAAAATTCAGACTATTTAAATCCAAAGACTCAGAGAATCTATATATTTTTGATATAAAATTTTGATATTATTTTTGATATTAATTCTCAAGCATTCTCTCTCTCCCCAATTTGAAAAAAGAGATTTAAGCCTGTTTTATTACATTAATAATTTGCATTATTAATAATTACATTTATATTCTTCATTTATATATACCTTTAATTTAATATAAATTAATTCTGTATTCCCTCTCTCTTTCTTTCTCTCTAATTTGAAAAAAGGAAGAATTGGAATTCGTTTTATTATATAATTAATTTGCATTATTAATAATTACATTTAATCTGTAATCTTTTCCTTTTTAATTCAATTTTATTAATTCATGTAAAAGGTATAAATTATAAATCAGAACATTTCCCTGATTGAAATAGCGATATTTTAAATATTTTTTTCAGGCTGGAATTTTTTATATCTTATGTTCTTCCGCTTTTAAAATATTGTCTTTTAAATATCTAATATTTGTATTTGGATTTTCTTTCTCAATACACTATCGCTTCTGACTCACATTTTTATCTTTTCTTCGAATTTTCAGATAAATTTCTCCTCTGGTACAGTTTATTTGAAATCCTGCTGGTACACCTGGAAAGTTTTGTTTGCTTTGCGCGCGGGAGGGACGAGGTTGAGCCGGAAGAAGAAGAATGGGCGATCAAAAGGACCCAGTACCGCTATCCTCGCCACCCCCATATTCACCCCCGGTGGTGGAAATGCAACCGTCGGTCGCAACAGCACCACCGCAACCGAATGCGCCAGTACCAAGTAAGAGCCAAAGATTCTTGATGTTCGAGATCTTTTTTTCCAGTACCTTGAGATTAAAGTTGAGTCTAAGCACGAAAGTTACTCTTCTAATATCTACAGCCGTATAATTTACGATTGTACATTATTATCTTACAATTACACTCACTCAATCACGCCTCAAGATTTATGTTTTTGAGATTTAATTAAATCTGATATGATTTAATTAAATCGTTTGAAGGCGGATTTCAATTAGTGATTTCGACTAGATTATATGCATAATATATGTAATTGTATATTTTAAATAAAATGTTACAGAGAGAGAGAGAGAGAGAGAATGAAAATCTTCTTCAATTAACTCACTAATATTTAAGGTCAACCACGACGGCGGTAGTTAATTTGGCTTGATTATCACATTTTTCTGCTCTTTTCTCGTCTTCTACTTGAACCTAGATAAGGAAGAAAATTTAGTTGACTCAATTCTCCGAGGCAAATTCCGCATTCGTGGGAGGTACTTAACAGGATTAGCATTTCTTGGCGTCATCTTCACATCGCAATTAACTAGCGTAAAAATAGAGTTGTTTGAATTCTTAAGACATTAACGTTAATTAAAGAGCGAGAATGCTAGTTATTTGTTATCATTAGCATCGATATTTTATTAAATGATCGTCATCGTCAAACAATTTTTGTTCTATACTTCTTAATCAGTCTCATTCCATTTCATTAAAAAGAATATATAAGAGAAAAGTATAAGAGAAATTATAAGAATAATAGAGAAAGTATAAAAGAATTTTGTTTAATTAATGTAATTTTACAATTGTGTCGAGGAATGTTTATTAAAAAATTTGTTTATTTTCGAACACATTGAACTGTATTTCCTCCTACAAGCCGCGATGTTGTGATAGTTTTATCGTCAGCTATTGTCAAACTACTGTCTAATTTATCCAGCTGTTTAATTTATCCACGATATCGTTTTGGACGAATCCAATATCACAATTTATACAAGACTCAATATCATAATCTATATATCTCTTTTTTTTAATCATAATTTAAATATTATCACAACTAATATTAATATTATCATATATAATAATGTACATATATGTATATTTCATGTTTTTATATGCGTTTGAAACATTTGTATCTCTACAAAATAATATGTGTAGTCTTAATTAAGGATTACATAATATTATTGATTGCCACAAACATGCTATTATCATGAAACGCGTCTACCTGATTGCGCTTAATGTCTGGTTTCTATATCTCTTGCCAGATATCGAGAGGAGAGGGAAGGAAAGAGAGTGAAAAGGAAAAATCGTAAGCGAGATCGATTATGTTATATGGATGGCTGGAAAACTTTTTATTTTAATGAAAAATCTTTGAGAATTACATAAATCTTGAATTTTTTGCTGTGAATCGCAATAATCGGAAAAATATCGACTCTGTCTTACGTATTTCGCGACATTACTCTGTATGTTGTTTTCCGTCATACATTGTTTATCTTCGAAATGATAAATGAAAAAATAGGAAAATAGGAAGAAACGAGGGTACCGTGGAAAAATTTTATCTCTTGCTCGTCTTGACGAGAGTGGAGAAGAAAGCTGAAATATAAATTCTGATAAGTCGCAAACGTTATTGAGAAACGTTTCAGATCGGAGTAACAATTATTTTCGCGACATTATAATAATCGCGATCGGAAATGATGGATGACAGTGGCAAGAATTTTAAAAAATGACGTTAACCACGAGTTCTGAGTTGAAAGTACGAAAACATTAAAACAGTGGCCAAGGTTGAACAACAAAAATTTGAAATCCAGTTATAATAGCAAAAATAATAGAGACGAGAATCTCAAGCGAAAACTACTGAAGTTACTGACTATTATAAACCAGTGATTTTTAAATAAGTAATTTTATTCTAGATAATTATCTGCGCGCCGTTAATAATTACAAAGCATTCGTGGACAGAAATTATATGGCTAATGGCGATAATCAAATTTCGATAATAATAGTGGTAAATATATATTCAAATTTCGATTTCGATAAGTGATTATGCGGCGTCTTATACAATGGACTCCGATAACCTTCGAATCTTCGTGGAAAATCAAAGTGAAGTGGATTCGTAGGTGGCTAAGAACTGTCCTTCAAAACATGAGGGCAATATTATAAATCCAACAATATTATAAATCCAAAAGGAAAGGCTGTAGCAGAGTTCTTACAGAAGTCAGGACTTTTTTTATGTTTTTTTAATATTGCATTTCGCGATTTTTTATGCGAAGCACTCTGTACACACACGCACGCACGCACGCACGCACGCACGCACGCACACACACACACACACACACACACACACACACACACACACACACACACACACACACACACATATATATATATATATAATACACACGTGTTGCTTCGATCAATGACAATTAATCTCATTATTCGAATAAAACTTATAAATCTTTATCAAAGATCTCTTTTATTTATCATTTTATTTACCTAATTTGATAAAAAATAATTACAAATTACACACAAATATATTTGACGATTTTTTAAATTTATTTATTATACGCATGCGTAATCTAACCATTTTTTGTAGAATTAGGTGAATATTTATATATTTCTCGGATCTTAAAAAATTTACATGAAATATTTACATAAGTTATTTACGAATAATAAATAATAGGTCGTTATTGCTTATCGAGCATTGTTCTTTCAGTTGGCTGGCTGTCGCCGAATACGACAAATCTACTCGGTTTGCAATACCTTATGGAGCTTGACTACCTTTCTGTGAAGCAGACATTTGGGCTCCTTCAATGTGAGCACTCGACTTTATTGAAAGATAAAAATAAAACCCTCTTCTTTGCGCGAATACATGTATTCGAGATCCGCGAAATTCGTCCAGAGCATCATTCACGACTAACTTTTCAAGCAAATGGAACCATATATAAATTTATTTCTCACATTAGCAATTTTTTTTATATTTATACCATGATAAATATATCATGTATAGTTACAAATTAACTATATAATTAACATTAATTATTATATATACAATTGAATTATTATATTTTCATTCTGTAAAAATGCATTACTAAAAAAATGCTTAAGGAGAATTATATTATAATATATTCGTGATGTAAATAATATTTTGTTTTTTAATCATTCATTGTTAGTGAAAAAATACATTAATAATTATATATTACATGTTACATTTTATGATATTATATTATATATACATTTCGCGTTATATCTCTTTGTGTGGCAGTTTTTAGCGGGCGTGATACTGGGAACAACTACGTTGTTATGGACATCAGTGGCGAACCAGTGTTTTACGTGGCAATAGAATCGAGCTTCTTTTCGCGATTACTCTCGTGCGAGACACCTACTTTCGAATTCATTGTCTATGATCGATATCGTCTACAAGAAATCCTGCGTATGATTCGTCTTTTCAACAGTAAGGTAGGTAGGTTTTTCTCTGCTATTGTATATACGTATCTATTATGACTGCTATTTCTGCAGAGAGTATTCTGCAGAAAGTGAAAAGATAATCAGAAGAGATTTTCCAACCTTGCATTCCTATGAAAAAGTTCAAATCAACACTTGTTTTTCCATGAAAAATTAGTTGATCATCGCTATCATGACACTCAATTTGAAATATTTGATTATCAGAATACAATTACGATTATCCTTTCTCAATTTTTATCAAAATAGTAACATTTATTAAGGAAAGAAAAAAATATATTATTATTTGTGTAAATTTATTGATAGCTTTTATTTTTTAAATTTCTTTAATTATATCTTAATAGGAAAAGTAATGAAAATAATTTAAGGACATTTTTCTTTTAAAAAAAAAGTTGGGTGCTATTATTCATAATAGTAAACTTTTTAATTAAAAATATTTAAAACTTTTAATAAAATTTTGAATATAAAATTGAAAAATTGAAAAATTTGAAAAATTTGAAAAATCTCAAGTGCTTATCTATAAAATTCACAGATATGAATAGGGAAAAGATAATATAAGAAATAATAAGATAATACTAAAATGTAAAAGTAATATTTAGAAGCGAAATGAGAACTACTGGCCTGTGTATGCCAAAGTTTCTTCACACGTGCAAATCATCTACCTGCTCTAACAAAAGTTCGCCCGTACTATCAAAGGATTCAATCAATACATTCTAAGGAGAAAATGACAATATCGATTTCCTTTGTAAAAGATTGAATAAAGAAAGCTTCAGATTATCTCTAGATAAATTTTATTTAAAAATAAAAATTTATATATTTTTCTTGTTATAATTAGCGTTTGATTAGTAGATGATTAAAGTTATTATTATTCCGGAAATAATAATAAATAATTGCAGACTTTAGAGGTTTATTCTGGAAATACTCTACTAGGCAGCGTTACTCAAGAATGGAGTCACTGCGAAATAGTATTCTATATTCGTGATGCATCCGGCCAGCCAGTGTTAATAATAAAGAATATCTCTCGTTTCTGTCAAATAATTTTTAAGGTACTTATAATTTTAAACCTACTAAATTTGTTTATTTGTCTATCTTCTAAACCTTTGGAAACCTTTGAAAATTTTATTTTAGATTATATCGATTATTAATCAATATAGATTATATGAAAAGTTAATAATTTCTATTTTAAACTTAATATTCGAAAGTAGCATGGTAAAAATTGATATTATACTATTTATTTATTCGCAAAATATCAAATAATATATCAAACAAATTACTTATATATATATATATATATATATATATATATATATATATATATGTATATATTGAATAGATTTTTTTAACTGAGAGAAGTAAAAAAGATTTTTAAAATTCACGGAAAATTCTCAATATAATGAATAATAAGAAATATAACATATACTTCGTAAATTTGAAGAGTATTTAGTTATAGTGAATGTTTGCGACTCGAATTGCACAAAAAACGGGGTTAAGAATCCTCAAATTTGATTAAATCTGCAGGTCGAATCCACAGATGATGAACATAGTGTCGGCACGATCCAGCAGCAATCGAGTGATGGATCGTGTTTTAACATTTCCGAGCTTAGTTTTGACATTAATTTCCCGCGCGATCTCGATGTAAAGATGAAAGCTCTACTGTTGGGAGCGTATCTTTTTCTAGTGAGTATCGCTTAGAATACCACAAACGATCAATTATTTGAAACAAAAATACAAAGGAGAAAATATATGAATTAAATATTCCGTGAAAAAAAAATTAAAATTAAGTACTAATAGATAAATATATATAATTGTTATATATAATTTTAATATTTAACATATATGTCATCATAATATTCTTGCATGTTTCAGGATGTCACAAACTACGGAAAACGAAGGTAATGATTCATTCATTTTAATATTTAAGAGAAAAATAAAACGCAAACTGCTTGTACAAGCTTATAAAAGATATTTTACACGCAGTATAAATAAAAATAAAAAAGACACGCATTTAGGATAAAATCTTACTAATTGTGGGATTAGCCACATACACGTATCGCTATTCTATTTTTTAAACACTTTACAAATAGTCTTTGCTTTTTGATAGTCCATGATTTTTATATATAACGAGAATATGTAAATACATTAAGCGAATACATTATACGAATTTACACGTGAAAATATGATGAAACTTGTATTTGTTGCCGAAAGCACAGAAATTTTGAGAAGCTCTCTATTTTTTATAAACGTGATAATCATTTATATCTGCTTAAATGATTATTCATTGCTTCACAATATATCTTTCTTTGCTCTAAATTGTCTTTCGAATATTAAATGATAGATAGTATAAATTACTATTTTTTCATACTTATCTCTCGCACACACAATCAAATGTTTATTCAAATATGTTAAGATTGGATTCACTTGTTGAATGCAATTTTAGTTTGTGTAAATACTTTGTTGCTATCTAAACTGTAATATTTATTAATACAAATATAATTATTTTTATAAAGATTTTATATAATGCAGAGTTAATATATAGAGCAGCACGGAGAGCAATGTTCAATATTATAAGACAATATATATTTGCATTAATGTAATCATATATTTTTGAAAAATATTTTCTTACACACAATATATTAATATTCATAAATTTATAAGAAAAAAACATTTATGTTTCATCAAAACAGAACTGTTTTTATATATGTATATGTATTCTATGCACATAGTTGCTTATTTTATATATGGATTTTCAGTATAAACATCTATGTTAAATAACTTGTACTATGTTTAAATACTTGTTAATAATAAATATGTTATATATATTTAAAAGATATTTTTTCTTAAAAGATTGTCCCAGGAATATAAAAACAAAAATCTTTATTATTAGTAAAAATTAAAAATATGCACGAAAAAAATATATTTTAAAAATATTTTCATTAATTTTGATTCGCATTTTTTTTTTCGACTATGTGATATGAATTATATTTTTTACTTTGCTTTTTTATAAATATTCCTGAAAAATGATTTTAGCATAAATATTTTTCATGTTAATATTTTTAAATAAATATTTTTTTTAATAACGGATTTATTATTGTTTATTATAAAAATTGGAATGCCAGACGATTCAAAGAAATGTAATATTTATTGCTAATTAAATATTATATATTAAATAGATGTAAAAAGATAGATTAGAGTAAATTCTTAGATATAAATTAAAAGAAAGAATATCATAGAATATAATAGAATATAATAGAATATAAGTATTCGTTTTATACTCTCGTCTAATAGATGATGAATTAAAAATATATAATGAAGCATTATAATCTTTCTCTCTTCAAGAGAAAATCAAGTTTAAACGGATAAAATTTAAGATTTTATCAAGTGTGTCTTCATGTTCTTTCATATAAAATATAAATCAGAAATAAGATCGAGAGAAAATAAAATACACAATGATATACATAATATCTATGTCTTTTTATTTTCGTGTCTCAATACTTGCATTCTCATCGTACATCTTGTCGAATCGGTTCATAGTACACTGTTTCTATAATATGTCGCAGCGCTTACTCGCCTGTGTTTTTAGTGCGTAATATCCGTCGCCCAGATGTTCTCTTCGATCTCTCGTGTGGTAAAAAACAGAATGAAAAAACATGTGAATGTCGCACCATCATCCGCAGACTAGAAAACCGCAGAGCACTGAAAAACAGTACACTCGATCCTCGATGTTCCATAAAGATCGCAAAATGGACAATTAAAAATCGTCGGCGAACGAATATTTCTTAAACAGGGACGACTTCTTTCTACTTTCTTCTTCCTTATTATCTTTCATTTAATAGACAGTCACGACGAATTGCGGGAACTAGCACTAGAACACTACTAAGTGTGTAGAAACGCGCAGAACTATGCATCATCTGTAACGAATATAATAGTGCGATTGCGACAAAAAAAAGAACGAAACGAGAGAATCGCGAACGAATGTTGCCACGAGAATATTTCTCGATTTTTCGAAATTACGTATTAAAAACAAAAAAAGGAACAATTGAACGAAATTAAAATACTGTCAAATACAACGCGCAGAGTACGAAGCAAGCTGCTCTATAGCCTTTTCCTTTTTATAGCACTTTCTTTTATTACCTCTCGCAAAAATATATTTGTTTCAATTTTCAGATTTACAAAAAAAAATTAGAAATTAATAAAAGAGAATTCAACAAATAAAATAAATTTACTTTTTCTTCCTAGGGATTTTAATTCTCTTCTCAATGTAATATATATAAACTTTACTATAATTATACATATTATATATATGTATAACATTATCTCAAACTAATTTCCTTTTATTAAATGATGCTAAAAAATATACGCTACAAAAAGGAGGTACATGCATGGATATCACAGCGCGAGCAACTTATATCATACGATTAGACAGCGCTAATGGACTGTACCTACAACATGAGAATTTCCTTCTGAAGAACAGATAACGAGAATAAATATATAGGAATTGATTTAAGACGATTATCTAACAACATCATGGAACTTTTCCGCTCTTATATATTAATACTATGATATTAGAGTGATTATAATATTAATATATATAATACAGAAATGACTGAAGACCGCAATGGCATTAAATTATCGTCACAAATGATTCTCCAAATCGGTCTCTCTCGCGATTCATTCTCGAATAAAATTCTTATGTCAAAGATACAAATTTCAGCGTGATGCAGCGTAATACAGCGTGGCATCCGACGGGGGCTACGATGGAGGAGTGTAAACGAATACGAGGGGATGAATTTAGAGGGCGGATGGATTTAGAGGCTGACCTCGAGCTTGATGAGCTCGGCGATGCCGTCGTTCATCTCCTTCACAGCTTGGTACTCGGTAAGACCGAGGCGGCGCTTGTTGGAGATATCGTAGATGCCACTCTCGGTCCCGGGTGTCGCGCACCTGTAGATTGTACTTGGCCGCGACTTCCTCAAGCTTGGCCTTGTTCGCCGCAAGTTTCGGCACCTTGATATGCACCGAGGCGCGCACCGTCGTGCCTAAGTTCGTAGGGCAGAAGGTCAGGAAGCCGAAGCGATCGTTGTGCGAGAACGGCAGCCGCTTCTCGAACTCATTCACCACCGTCACCAAGCGTTATAACATTAATAAATTGAATTTGACGGTGACTCAGATCCTTCCGTTTTTTAACAAAGAATAATGATTATTTGATATTATTTAACATCTCAAAATTTAGCCAAAACAAACTTTTCATCAAATTATGAAATATTTTCTGGAATGTATGAATTTTTATAAATGTTTAATAGTCATAGATGCTTTTAAATACTTCAATTTGTTAATTGGCCAACAATTATGATGGTCCCACAAGTAAAATATATCGAAAAAATTCATATATTGCGAAAAAAAGGACAAAAATATATCTTTATCTAATTTAAATTATAGTTTCTAAATAGATTTACCTGTCCAAGATCACCACTCATCTGCAACGAAATGATGCGGAGATGGTCTTCCTCGTTGACCCAGACTAAGGTCTTGTCGTCGTTGTGAAAGATGCCGCGTCCAGTAGGGCAGAAACGACAAGCATTCGCTGCCTGGAGGAAACGATCGTCTTCTTTGAAGAGGAAATGATCGTAGATCAGCATTTGTTGCACTTCCTTGCTCATGTCAGTGAGCGGATAAAAAGTGTCTTCAATTCGCCGCCGAGACCAGACAACGTGCTAGATACTTTCTCTTCCATCTCCTTATACTGGGCCTCGGTCAAGCATGGATTGAATGGATATCCGTCCAAGGAGCGGCAGCATCGCACGCGAGTCGACACGATGTACCCTATAAGGAGCAAGAAACAGAAAGTTATAAAATTTGAAGATATTAACAGTATATAATCTATTTTTTGTTTTTATGTGAAATATAATCCTAATAATAAATGTCGAAAAAACTTACAGTAGGGTCGAGGTTGCCGAAGGAATGGACATCGCCAAAGTCCTTGGGCGGATGTTTGTCCGTCTTCTTGAAGCCACCATGATAATCATCGATGATTGGATCAAAGATTTCGGCGAAAACTGTGTACCCCTCGACATCGGACGCATAAATATCGACGCTGGAATCATGGTTTTTGTAACCAGATTGGATAACCAGAAGAGTAGAACCGAACGAGGTCTAAAAGTGGTACAGTTCGTTTCTTTTTCAAGAATTAATTTAAAAAATCCGTATTTTTTATTTCAAAATAAAACTGCCGATATTAACACGATGAAAACTGTAATATTAACAATTTTTAGACGAGATATTCTGAAAAAGCACGAAGAGTATTCTCAATCGCATAATAATCTTTTGAATATTTCGCGAAGAAAAATAATTTCCAATATATTATATAATAACAATAAACGTGTAATAAATTGATAAGCTCGTGAGAAAATCGAACACGGTGTGCATTCTAAGGTCAAAGGCCAGAATGAGCCACACGTCATCGTCATCGACTTAGTTGTCGGCGATGTCGTCGCCTCCTTCACCTTTTGGACGTGTCCAGGACCGCGTCGGGGTAGGTTCACTCGAGATAAGCAGAGAAGACACACACAGATAGACAGAGAAAGAGAATAGAGACTGGAGTGAGACAGATTATCGCACCTTCTCTCGCCAGCACAGAGTACACACTCGAGCACTTCACCTACCAGCCAGGCTAAAGAAACGAGGCTCCCCTCGTCATCGCCCCCGTCGTCCTCCTCGTCCTTGCCTCATCGCGAGGACAATCCGCGCCGGTCCTCCTCCGTCCGGCCGCGAACAAAGGCATCGACGATAAGAGTTACACCGAGTCGGAACTGTCGAGCGAGAAGCGGCGAGACGGATCACGACGAATCGAGAATCGACCTGCGTCGCCTCGTTGCAAGGCTGCCACGATATTACGCGGCTACGCGAGGACATGACATCAGGGCCCGACACCGCGCGCTTTATACGTGAGCACGTACATGGAAACGGCGACAACACACTCGCTCTCTCGGCTCTGGTCCGCCCGCCTACCTGTCTTTTCGTCCGTTCCCGTCTCTCTTCTCTCTTCCCGTGGCCGTCGCTGTCATTTTCTTGTCTGCTTCCTCTCCTCTACCTGCCCTCCCCTTCATCCCCACCTCGCGTCCCGCGCGTTCACCATGCAGATCTGACGTGAGCGATGCCACCATCTTATCGCCGCCGCTAGACTACTCTTCGAACGAACGTCAAGTCGATGGGTCATCGACTACGCGCGTATGCTAGATGTCACGCGCGAATTAGCCTCCATTTTGTCTCCCTCTTCTCTCCTCCGCGTCGCGGGGAATGTATCGCACTTTTTGTTCTCTCTGCAAGGTATGAATCAGTTACTTTATTTCGGAAAATCTTTGATGTAATTTGTATAATAACGATTTAGAATAATGTTTATTAGTACATGAAATTTAATAATTTCTTAAAAATAATATTATTGATTCGTATTGCATCTTTAATTTCATTTTTTGGCGATTTTTGCGAGTACCATATAATTGACATCTTTCAAGAAACGACTCGGTAGATGTATGTACAATTATATAGTATATAATATTTTTTAAATCTCTGTGTTTAGATCACCCTAAAAAGTGAGAGAGAATAAGGTAAGATATAAAACTATTTTTTAATAATAATGAACGACAATAAATTTTACGTTCATCAGGAAAAGCCGTAGACTTCAAGACGCATCTTCAGCGAACGCGAGCTGATTGGTCGACCTGAAATCTGACCAATAATGGCGCGACCGCCAGAATGACCGCAAGTTGTTATTTTCAGTTACACTTTTCGCACTTCTGGTGTTACTTAATTTTCTCCTTGGAAAACAACTAAGATTAGATAAAAGATAAGATTGAATAGATGATAAGATTAGGCAGATTGTGATGCCATCAGCTATATTTCATATATTAATGATCCTTTGCTCTCTTATTTTCTCCTCCAGGATCTATCCGCGAGTGCAGAACGAGGCATATACGTAGAAGGGACAGATTCGCGATTCCCGGCGAAGTGAGGAAAACGATCCAGGGAGGAGTCACCCTTCACCGCTGGATGCGAGTGTCACTCTCTCTTATCTGCCAGACAACGCTATCCACGACCTTGCAAACTCATGTAAGGAGCAACCGAGTGAGTCGTATTTCGTTGCAGTTGTTTTAGAATATGATATAGGCTGTGTATTCATATGTCGACGTCGCGTGTATGCGTTTACTTGTAAGTGATGCCAGGATTATATTAGGCGTAAACAGTACCATGCATACTATGATATCTCCAAAATGAATGAGAATTTTAAGCGAGTCACATGCCCATTGATAAATAATCGATGGAAATATATGGTATTAAAGATTCGTGATTTTAATAATATATGTGTAATATATGTGTAATATGTGTTTGTATGTACACATATATATATGCATACACGGCATATTTTCTGCGGAATAAACAGGTTAATTGATCTTTCATTTACAGAATTGCACTAGTATAATTTTCTAAGTACTACTTGAAATAGTGCACTACGAGCATGAAAACATTATAACAATGAGCGTTTTAATGAGTAATTTACACTGTGCAACTCGGGTGCATCACAGATGAATTGTGACGTAGAGCTTTATAAAAAGCGCACATATAGTTCTTTCAATTTCAAGACGATTTTCTTTCTAGGGAAATATAAATCTATTAAAGTGAAGAGAGAGGGAAGTGAAAAATGTGAAGAGAGAGAAGGAAATATATAATAATATAATAAATAATATATAATATAATATAATATATAATAATAAAAATTATATGATAATATAATATATAATAAATAATAGTATATTTAATGTACCTTTTGATTTCCGTTGAAAGAACACAAAGCTATATTACAAAATATTCGTCATCCCAATTAAATATAAAACTGTATAAAATCTCCAAGTCTCTTCGTATCGAACGTTCTACTTTGATAGGTTTCGGCGTAGGCTGACGTTTTTAGTCTAATCGCGAACTACACACGATTACTTTCTTCTCGCTTAACATACTCGACTATCATAATCATCGAATAACTGATTCATCTCGCATTACGAATTATCCTCGATGACGAATTCACACTGACGAATAATTTCCATGAATGTCGGTCGTGTGATAACGCAGTCTCATGAAAGTTAAAGAGAAATAGAGATAGAAATAGATAAAAAGAGACAGAGAGAGATATGAAGATTAATGCATGACATTTTAATTAATGAGATAATTTTTAATCGAATCTTTGCTTCACCTCTTGCTTCACTTACAACTGCAGTATATTTTTAAAGATGTGGACACAATCATCAATCATTCAGATGTGTGTGTGTGTGTGTGATAGAATTCTTTAAAAAAAATTCCTTTTTTGTTAATTTCAGATTTTCTTATATAATTATCTTAATAAATTATCTAAATATAAATAAATTATAAATATGATATAAATAAATTATCTAAATTATCTTAATAATCTCTCATTACTATATTATTATTATTAAACTATATTATTATTATTATTATATTATTATATATTATGCATACAATATTATGCATATAATTTATTTATTAATCGTATCAATTTTTACTTGTATGACAATTTTATTGTATACATTTAATAATTTAATAAAATAATCATGAATAATAAATAATAGGGAATTATTAGCCGTAATTAATTTTAAATTATTAAGTGTATACATCAAAATAATAATAATAAAGTAAAAATTGATCTTTCATCTATTATTTGTTATCATTTATTATAGTAGGATTTGTTCGCTATATGTATACTGATCGTTTTTTCATTAGGTATTACATTTCCTGCATTTTACCTTTTAATCCCCTCTCGTCTCTTTCCTACTTCCTTCCTCGTTTTCTTCCCCCCCTTCGTTCTTTACACTTATTCCGTTTTAAAATGCTGAAAACACAATAGACTGCAGGCTGAAGTGAAATCCGACGCGTGAGCGCATCGAGAATCGCAAGTAGATGTACACCTCGAAATAGGTCGACGTAAAATTGGCAGTGCTTAGGACGGGAAGTCGGAGGACACGCGCAGTGCTGTAATACAAGGCACGCTTGTTTTCCGTTGTTTCGTTGCCAGTTTGCCCGTTAGTTCGTTCCGTCGCCCGGATCCCCGTTTTCGACGTCCGTTCACGCGCCATTCTTCCACGTGAGTGCAAAGATCGTGCTTCTAATCGCAAACGCTTTTCGCGCGAACAATACGCAAACACTGCGTCCAATTTGTAATGAAGCTTTTTCGCACTATCCCTGATAATGCGACGAATTTTTAATGACATTTTCATGAGCGCCTCTTAGAAATTTTTATTTCGTTTATATTAGTATTAAATAATGAAATATTAATTATTGATTTTATATTATTTATTATTTTATTTGTTATATATTATTTCATTAATTATTTATATTATTTTATCTTTGACGTCTAATTTCAAAGAGATTTCCCATCAACTTGAAACCGACAGTCTATCTCTAAGATTTTTAAAGATAATATCGTGAATTTTTATTCTACTTACGAGATCCGAGAGCTTAATGAATTATGTCGAATTTAATAAGATCTTGATTACGTTATTGCTTGAAATTTCATCGCTTCGGATCAGTCACGCGAACTTTGATTTTGCAATATCGCTGACACTTATTGTTAGAATATATCGGTGCTGATGATAAATATAGATGAGATGCTAAAGAGGCGCTCGTTAAAGAGCAACGTGTTTTTTGCTTTTATTCTCTATCTCCTTTCCATAAAACCGGAAGTACATATTATTATCGTATCTATCATATATTATCTGCTCTTTTGGGTACGTGTAGCGCGCATCTGTGTGCATATACACAAAATAATTTCTACCGCTTAAAACGAGTAGGTGCGATTGCAACTGTGCTTTCACGTGACATTTTCATAGCGGTTAACTTTTTTTTTCACCATGTCTCTCGAAATATCAGATCAGGTCAGTCGGAATAAACGTGACATTATAATAATGAAGCGACACACACGCGCGTGTGATAAAATACATTGCCACTCTTAAATCATAAGTACTTCATTCAAGATTATTCATTCTAGAACGCACTAATTTTGATTATTACTGTGTTACCCATTTAAACAAAAGGAAGAAAATTATTTGACTGTATTTTATATACAACAAGTTTGAAACAAACAAGAAAAAAAATTTATTTAAATTAAAATTTCACATCATTTAAAAAAGCATAAATATATTATTAATTTTAAATAATAATAATTGAGGTAATTTTATTCCGTATTTTATATTTTTTTGCATGAAAAATCATCACCTTGTCATCCTTTATTATCTTGTAGAAAAATAATTTTAAATTCTGCAAAATAAAAGCTTAATAAATACTTGTGAGTGATAATATATTTTAAAATTGCAATAATTTTTTTATAAACTTATAATTCAAGAGAAGAAGGGAAGAAACGGGTGCTCGAAAAAACGAAGGGTCAATCCTGATTCGGTCCCGCGACCTTGCGGTATGCGAGACGCAGTCTCTCCTCGCACACATGAGAACGGATGACATCATCGATGAAAGTGTACATAATTGAGCAATGCATCGAAACGTTTGTTCAACTCGAAATCTTTCCCTCCGCCCGAATGAAAAATATGTCAAAAATGCGGTACCTTCATAAACATCTAAAAGTTTCAGACATATTTAAATATTTTTTTTAAACAAATTTTATAATTAAAGTCTCTTTTTTAGTGAAAAATTCATAAGCGAATCATTTATTGCAAGCTCTCTTTTAATATTCTAGTTAATCACTGAATTTAATTTTAATTATAAGTTAATTATAACTCTTGAAGTCTTTCAATGAAATCTTTGTTAAGATAGAATTAAATTTCAAAATTATATTTGATGAATAAAATCTTTCTTTGTTTGCTTCATCGCTAGAATTTTTTCATCTTTCAATCATAAAAATTTCATTACATAATTATCTAAATAATGTGTAATTCAAGTATAATATTTGATATAGTATTTGTACGAGAATTACTTTAACAAACATCAAAAAAATGATTGAGAAGCATTCTTGACATACATTTGACTGCGCGCGAGAGTTTTATCAGTCCTTGGATATTTCATAGATTGGGCGCATTTAGCGAATTCCCATTTTCGAGATGTAATTGCAATTCGTATCTCTCTTTTCTTCTCGTCGATTCCAATTACAGATACACACGAGGATATTATCGAGGCGTTTATTCTTTGATAACGAATATAGGTGAGGTAATATAATAGTTTACGGGGTCACATTCATAATAAGCGATGATCGATGGACGCCTCGGATAAGTTAAAGAGCGACTTTTAAGAGGAACTGCGACAAAACACGGAACGACTGGGTGATAGTTTGAAAAGGGCATGAGTCATATGAATCTCAAATCGACTGGTTTCTCGATATTCAAAGTATATAATCACAGTTTGGATCGCGTACGTGAAGGACACGAGTCAATATGGAGATTAAAGTGTTTGTTGAAATGACACACACTTTACGAACGAGATGAAGAGCATTGTCCCTGATATTGTTATCTTTAATTAGCATCAGATTCACGTAGAGGAAGTTAGTCTTCGTTATTATATTTATCTTAAACTATTATTATCAAAAACAAAAAATTAATAAATTAATAAATTAATAAATTTTAGAATTAGGAATTTATTATGTTATATATCGTATAAATAATATACGGCACACACAATGAAATGATATCGATTTGACCTACATTCACATGCATAAAATCATAGAATCATGTAATTCAAAAAAATTGTTAATTTAAACATTTTTTGAAAGAATATTTAAGTCTCTTTGGTCTATATTTTGACATTTACATTCCGTTCGAAAATATTGAATTAATAAGATATTATTTAAAATAGCACACACAAGTAGAATTTATATCTTTTTTTATATTCTTTTTACTTATTTATATTTATATTATTTATTTATATATTTTTGTTCATTTTTTAATGAAACGTTACAATTAATAAAATTTATTGAAAAATAGTATATGTAACTTAGTATTTTATATATATATAAAATTACAATATATATATAAAATTCAGGATATATCTCTAAAGAGAAAACTTAAAATATAAAATTTAAAATTTAATCGTAGTCAAATAATTCTTCGGGAATCTCAACGTCGATATTGATCATGGGTCCAATATAAACACGGATTTCATTTGCAGACGCGTGACATCTTGCTTTACAAAACCTTTATTCAAGGCTGTTAAAAAGTAGTACGATCCGATATAATGCTCACGTGGGGCACGTCCAGTGACGTAGGCAACCTGGCGATTTCGTCTTGCTTCAGTGATTTACGATGCAACAGAATTCCGTTATAATTCCGGTATAAAAATAATTCATAAAAAACGATTCTTGTAAATTGCAGTTTTTCCTCATCTTGCTTATGAAATACTTTACTCGATTTAATAACTTATTTATATTTTCAGTATAAATTTTTTTGCTTAATATGAGAAAGATAATTTATAATTAAATAATTGTTCACTTTTATATAAAAATTTCGATTATACACATAATACGTATAATACACAATATAATATATATATAATATATAAAAAATTCTAAATAATCATGCGTAACATATAAAAATATTTTAATAACATTATACGAACTTTAATCTAATACATTACTCAGATATATAAATTCTTTGACGAATGTATTGAACAGTAAACAATTAAAAATAATTTAGATATAATAAAGATATAATAAATTCATGATAATTCATGATAATCAACTATTGTAAAGCAAAGTATTGATAATGGTCATTGCGCTCGCTTTTAAGAATTTAATCTCTGATTATCTTCCATAAATTCCACAATAATTAATGATTCTTCAGAGTGAAATAATTTTATATAACAACTGACTTGATTTTATTTTTAAGTAACAATTCATGATTGATTGAGTCACAAGAATGCAAGCAATCTTGTAAAAGTGCAATTAAATATATTCTACATTTTAATTCAATATTCCATAAAGTTCCTTGTTCTGAATGATTTACATTTTATATTTTAATTTTTAACATATATTTATTATAAAAATATTAATTTCTAAATAGATATATAAGCAATTTGTGTCGTTCTTGCGTACTATATTAAGAATAGATATTAAGTGTGAGTCTCTAAAATATAAAAATATAACAATTGGTAGTGATATATACACTGAGAAAATTGTCCGATGAAAAGATAACGAACGGATATTATACCGATCGCTTTAATCGGATATCTGATCGGAAAGTTCCGAATTTTGAACTTTCTGATCAGATATCCGATCGATCGATATTTTCTGATAGGATATCTGACCGGTTTCTTTTTTTCCGATTAAAGTGACCGGTATAATATCCGTTTGTTACTTTTCCACCGGATATTTTTCTCAGTGTATATTTAATAAGAATAGATTTCTATTCTAAAATATTTTGTATAAAAATCTCCCAAGCTTTCCTGTTGATTTCTCCGAATTATGCGTGACAAACATCCCAGATTAAAGAGAAGAAAAATGATAAGAGCCACTCTTTTTCACGGAATTATTTAAATAAAAAAATTTATTCTCTTTATCATGAGATTCTGTCTCTATAAATAATAATCAAGGAAATCTTCCAAAAATATTTTAGCAATCAATGACTGTACTGCTACCAATTTAAGCGTAACAAATTGTGAAACAAAGGATGGTTATCAATGACGAGAGAAAAAGTTTTATCAATGACACTCGAGATCTTCTATACATTTCATACATGTGACCGCATGCGTATACATGCATATTACATGCATACATATGCGTTACAATGACCTTTAAGAGGCGAATACCGCGAGCGCGGCAGGGACGATGACCCTACAATTTCAACAACGTAAACAGTATCGCATATATATATATGCGAACGAGTATCGTACGTGAACAAGCAGCCTCTGCCATCAATTGACTTGTTCGGGAACTAGAACTTTTTGATGGATCTTCTCCGTCGGTAGAGATGCAAACATTAATTTTTTAATCTTATTTTTATTTAAAATAGAGAATTTTATTTTCGACGTGTTTGCGTAATTTCAAAGCTAGTCGGAATTCTTTACAAGAAGAGCTGTTACAAACACCATCTAAAATTCAGACTATTTAAATCCAAAGACCCAGAGAATCTATATATTTTTGATATAAAATTTTGATATTATTTTTGATATTAATTCTCAAGCATTCTCTCTCTCTCCAATTTGAAAAAAGAGATTTAAACCTGTTTTATTACATTAATAATTTGCATTATTAATAATTACATTTATATTCTTCATCTATATATACCTTTAATTTAATATAAATTAATTCTGTTTTCCCTCTCTCTTTCTTTCTCTCTAATTTGAAAAAAAGGGATTGGGATTCGTTTTATTATATTAATAATTTGCATTATTAATAATTACATTTAATCTTTAATCTTTTCCTTTAATTTAATTTTATTAATTTATGTAAAAGGTATAAATTATAAATCAGAACATTTCCCTGATTGAAATAGCGATATTTTAAATATTTTTTTCATGTTGGAATTTTTTATATCTTATATTCTTTCTCTTTTAAAATATTATCTTTTAGATATCTAATATTTTGTATTTGGATTTTCTTTCTTAATACACTATCGCTTCTGACTCACATTTTTACCTTTTCTTCGACTTTTTAGATAAATTTCTCCTCTGGTACAGTTTATTTGAAATCCTGCTGGTAGACCTGGAAAGTTTTGTTTGCTCTGCGCGCGGGAGGGACGAGGTTGAGCCGGAAGAAGAAGAATGGACGATCAAAAGTACCCAACACCGCTACCCTCGCTACCCCCATATTCTCCCCCGGGGGTGGGAATGCAACCGTCGGTCGCAACAGCACCACTGCAACCGAATATGCCAGTACCAGGTAAGAGCCAAAGATTCTTGATGTTCGAGATCTTTTTTTCCAGTACCTTGAGATTAAAGTTGAATCTAAGCACAAAAGTGACTCTTCTAATATCTACAGCCGTATAATTTACGATTTTGTACATTATTACCTTACAATTACACTCATTCAATCACGCCTGAAGATTTATGTTTATGAAATCTGGAATGATTTAATTAAATCGTTTGAAGGCGGATTTCAATTAGTGATTTCGACTAGATTAGATGCATAATATATGTAATTGTATATTCTAAATAAAATGTTACAGAGAGGGGGAGAGAGAGAGAGAGAGAGAGAGAGAGAGAGAGGGAGAGAGAGAATGAAAATCTTCTTCAATTAACTCGTTAATATTTAGGGTCAACCACGACGGCGGTAGTTAATTTGGCTTGATTATCGCGTTTTTCTGCTCTTTTCTCGTCTTTTGCTTGAATCTAGATAAGGAAGAAAATATAGTTGACCCGGAAATTCTCCGAGGCAGCATTCCGCATTCGTGGGAGGCACTTAACAGGATTAGCATTTCCTGGCGTCATCTTCACATCGCAATTAGCTAGCGTAAAAATAGAGTTGTTTGAATTCTTAAGATATTAACGTTAATTAAAGAGCAAGAATGCTAGTTATTTGTTATCATTAGCATCGATATTGGATTAAATGATCGTCATCGTCGAACAATTTTTGTCTTATACTTCTTAATCAATCTCGTTCCATTTTATTAGTAAGAATATATAAAAGAAAAGTATAAGAAAAAGTATAAGAATAATAGAGAAAGTATAAAAGTATAAGAGAATTTTGTTTAATTAACGTAATTTTACAATTGCGTCGAGGAATGTTTATTAAAAAATTTATTTATTTTCAAACACATTGAACTGTATTTCCTCCTACAAGCCGCGATGTTGTGACAGTTTTATCGCCAGCTGTGGGAAATTACTATCTAATTTATCCAGCTGTCTAATTTATCCACGATATCGTTTTGGACGAATCCAATCACAAGTTATACAAGACTCAATATCATAATCTATATGTTTCATTTTTTTTTAATCATAATTTAAATATTATCACAACTAATATTAATATTACCACATATATAATAATGTACATATATGTATATTTCGTTTTTGTATACGTTTGAAATATTTGTATCTCTACAAAATAATATGTGTAGTCTTAATTAAGGATTATATGATATTATTGATTACCACAAACATGCTATTATCACGAAACGCATCTACCTGATTGCGCTTAATTACAGAATTCACGATAAGACGATATTTCGTGATATTTCCTCCATCGGCAATGTCTTAATCCAGTATTGTTCTACAATTGTGCTTCGCCACGTGAAATTCGAGCATGGTAGCGTTGTCGCGATCATTCGATCCAGGACAGAAGTACGATCCACGGACGGTGTTTCACGTAATAGTTGGCCGGGAGTGACGATCAGTATTAAGTAGATAATGGTCGTATGCGACTGTGTTGATCGTCCCATATCATCATTCGCCGTCGTATTCGTCGTTATCGTTCGTGACTGAAACGACGCTGAATTTTTCGGCCTTCGTGTATATATTGTCCTCTTATCGCACGAGTTGTGTTCTTCATGTTTAAATTGTGAAATATTCTGATAAGCAATGATACGACGTATAATATGATCATTCGACGCTACCAGTACATTATTTGCCTCTTACCTGTCTGGTTTCTATATCTCTTGCCAGATATCGAGAGGAGAGGGAAGGAAAGAGAGTGAAAAGGAAAAATCGAAAGCGAGATCGATTATGTTATATGGATGGCTGGAAAACTTTTTATTTTAATGAAAAATCTTTGAGAATTACATAAATCTTGAATTTTTTGCTGTGAATCGCAATAATCGGAAAAATATCGACTCTGTGTTACGTATTTCGCGACATTACTCTGTATGTTGTTTTCCGTCATACATTGTTTATCTTCGAAATGATAAATGAAAAAATAGGAAAATAGGAAGAAACGAGGGTACCGTGGAAAAGTTTTATCTCTTGCTCGTCTTGACGAGGGTGAAGAAAGCTGAAATATAAATTCTGATAAGTCGCAAACGTTATTGAGAAACGTTTCAGTTCGGAGTAACAATTATTTTCGCGACATTATAATAATCACGATCGGAAATGATGGATGACAGTGGCAAAAATTTTGAAAAATGACGTTAATCGCGAGTTCTGAGTTGAAAGTACGAAAACATTAAAACAGTGGCCAAGGTTGAACAAGAAAAATTTGAAATCCATTTATAATAACAAAAATAATAGAGACGAGAATCTGAAGCGAAAACTGCTGAAGTTACTGACTATTATAAACCAGTGATTTTTAAATAAATAATTTTATTCTAGATAATTATATGCGCGCCGTTAATAATTACAAAGCATTCGTGAACAGAATTTATATGGCTAATGGCGATAATCAAATTTCGATAATAATAGTGGTAAATAAATATTCAAATTTCGATTTCGATAAGTGATTATGCGGCATCTTACACAATGGAATCCGAATACTTCGACTCTTCGTGGAAAATCAAAGTGAAGTGGATTCGTAGGCAGCTAAGATCTGTCCTTCAAAGCATGAGGGCACAATATTATAAATCCAAAAGGAAAGGCTATAGCAGATTTCTTACAGAGGAAGAACAGAGGTCAAGACTTTTTTTGTTTCTTTTTTTATATTGCATCTCGCGATTTTTTATACGTCTATCGCGAAGCACTCTGTGTATATATATATATATATATACATATGTTACTTCGATCAATGACAATTAATCTCATTATTCGAATAAAACTCATAAATCTTGATCAAAGATCCCTTTTATTTATCATTTTATTTACCTAATCTGATAAAAAATAATTACAAATTACACACAAATATATTTCATAATTTCATATTTTATAAATTTATTTATTATACGCATGCGTGATATAACCATTTTTTATAGGATTAGGTGAATATTTATATATGTCTCTTAAAAAATTTACATGAAATATTATTATTTACGAATAATAAATAATAGATCGTTATTGCTTATCGAGCATTGTTCTTTCAGCTGGCTGGCTGCCGCCGAGTACGACATATCTACCCGGTTTGCAATACCTTATGGAGCTTGATTACCTTTTCGTGAACCAGAAAATTGAGTTGCTTCAAGGTGAGCACTCGGCTTTATTGAAAGATAAAAATAAAATCCTGTTCTTTGCGCGAATACATGTATTCGAGATCCGCAAAACTCGTCCAGAGCATCATTCACGACTAACTTTTCAAGCAAATGGAAGCACATATAAATTTATTTCTCATTAGAAATTTTTTTTATATTTATACCATGATAAATATGTCATGTATAGCTACAAATTAACTACATAATTAACATAAATAATTATTATATATACAATTATTATATTTTCATTCTGTAAAAATGCATTATTAAAAATAATGCTTACGGAGAATTATATTATAATACATTCGCGATGTAAATAATATCTTATTTTTTAGTCATTGTTAGTGAAAAAATACATTAATAATTATATATTACATGTTACATTTTATGATATTATATATATACATTTCGTATTATATCTCTTTGGGTGGCAGTTTTTACTGGGTGGGAAACTAAGAATAGGTACGCTGTTACGGATATCCGTGGTGAAACAGTGTTTTACGTGGCCGAAGAATCGAGCATCTGTTGGCGATTATGCTTGGGCAAGTATCGTTCTTGCGAATTCAGTGTCTACGATCGAGATCGGCGAGAGATCCTGCGTATGATTCGTCCTTTCAGATGCGACAGTTGCTGCTGTCCCTGCTATCTGCAGGTAGGATTTTCTCTATTGTATGTACGTATCTATTATGACTGGTATTTCTGCAGAGAGTATTTTGCAAAAAGTGAAAAGATAATCAGAAGAGATTTTTCAACCTTGTATTCCTATGAGAAAGTTCAAATCAAAACTTGTTTTTCCATGAAAAATTAGTTGATCGTCGCTATCATGACACTCAATTTGAAATATTTGATTATCAGAATACAATTTCGATTATCCTTTCTCAATTTTTATCAAAATAATAACATTTATTAAGGAAAGAAAAAAAATATTATTTGTGTAAATTTATTGATAGCTTTCATTTTTAAAATTTCTTTAATTATATCTTAATAGGAAAAGTAATGAAAATAATTTAAGGGCATTTTTCTTTTAAAAAAAAATTGAGTGCTATTATTCATAATAGTAAACTTTTTAATTAAAAATATTTAAAACTTTTAATAAAACTTTGAATATAAAATTTATGAAAAATCTCAAATGCTTATCTATAAAATTCACAGATATGAATAGGGAAAAGATAATATAAGAAATAATAAGATAATACTAAAATGTAAAAGTAATATTTAGAAGCGACATGAGAACTACTGGCCTGTGTATGCCAAAGTTTCTTCACACGTGCAAACCATCTGCCTGCTCTGACAAAAGTTCGCCCGTACTATCAAAGGATTCGATCAATATGCTCTAAGGAGAAAATGACAATATCGATTTCCTATTCAATCTTTGTAAAAGATTAAATAAAGAAAACTTTAGATTATCTCTATAATAAATAATAATGATAAATTTTATTTAAAAATGAAAATACTAGAATATTTAATTAAAAAAATGAATAATTTATATATTTTTCTTGTTATAATTAGCGTTTGATTAGTAGATGATTAAAGTTATTATTATTCCGGAAATAATAATAAATAATTGCAGATTTTAGAGGTTTATTCTGGAAATACTCTACTAGGCAGCGTTACTCAAGAATGGAGTCTCTGGCGACCAATATTCTATATTCGCGATGCATCCGGCCAGCCAGTGTTAATGATAAAGGGACCAATCATTCGTTTCTGTATTGAAGTAAATTTTAAGGTACTTATAATTTCAAACCTACTAAATATGTGTCTTCTAAATTTTTCTAATTTTACGAAAATTTTATTTTAGATTATATCGATTATTAATCAATGTAGATTATATGAAAAGTTAATAATTTCTATTTAAAATTTGATATTCGAAAATAGCATGGTAAAAATTGATATTATACTATTTATTTATTCGCCAAATTATTAACTATTAATTCAATATATATATATATATATATATATATATATATATATATATATATATTGAATAGATTTTTTTAACTAAGAGAAGTAAAAAAGATTTTTAAAATTCATGAAAAGTTCTTAATATAATGAATAATAAGAAATATGACACATACTTGCTAAATTTGAAGAGTATTTAGTTATATAGTGAATGTTTGCGACTCGAATTGCACAAAAAAAGAGTTAAGAATCCTTGAATTTGATTAAATTTGCAGGTCAAATCCATAGATGATAAGCATCGTGTCGGCATGATCCAGAAGCAATGGAGTGGTTTTGGTCGAGAATTTTTTACCGTTTCCGATAATTTTGGCATTAATTTCCCGCGCGATCTCGATGTAAAGATAAAAGCCCTACTGTTGGGAGCGTCTCTTCTTGTAGTGAGTATCGCTTACCAGAATACCACAAACGATCAATTATTTGAAACAAAAATACAAAGGAGAAAATATATGAATTAAATATTGCGTGAAAAAGAAATTAAAATTAAGTACTAATAAATAAATATGTATAAATAAATATATATATTTTAATATTTAACATATATGTCCATCATAATATTCTTTCATGTTTCAGGATTTCATGTACTTCGAACAAGAGAATTGATCCATTCATTTTAATATTTAATTCAAGAAAATTGAAACGCAAATGGCCTGTACAAGCTTATAAAAGAGCTTATTTTACGCGCAATGTAAATGAAAATGAGACTCAAAGACACGCACTCAGGATAAAATCTTACTAATTGTGAGATTATCCACATAAACGTATCGCTATTCTATTCTTTAAATACTTTACAAATAGTCTTTGCTTTTTGATAGTCCATGATTTTTATATATAACGAGAATATGTAAATACATTAAGCGAATACATTATACACTTGTAAAAATATGATGAAACTTACATTTGTTACTGAAAGCACAGAAATTTTGAGAAGCTCTCTATTTTTTATAAACATTGTGATAATCATTTATATCTGCTTAAATGATATTCATTGCTTCACAATATATCTTTCTTTGCTCTAAATTGTCTTCCGAATATTAAATGATAGATAGTATAAATTACTATTTTTTCATACTTATCTCTCGCACACACAATCAAATGTTTACTCAAATATAATAAAATTGGATTCATTTGTTGAATGCAATTTTAGTTTGTGTAAATAGTTTGTTGCTATCTAAACTGTAATATTTATTAATACAAATATAATTATTTTTATTAAAATTTTATATAATGCAGAGTTAATATATAGAGCAGCGCAGAGAGCAAATGTTCAATATTATAAGTTAATATATATTTGCATCAATGTAATCACATATTTTTGAAAAATATTTTCTTACATATAATATATTAATATTTATAAATTTATAAGAAAAAAACAATATATTCTATGCACATATTTGCTTATTTTATATATGAAATATGATTTTCAGTATAAGCATTTGTTAAAATTGTTAATAATAAATATCATATATATATTTAAAAGATATTTTATTTTGAAAGATTGTCCCAGGAATATAAAAATCTTTATTATTAGTAAAAATAAAAATATGCACGAAAAAAATATATTTTAAAAACATTTTCATCAATTTTGATTCGCATTTTCTTTTTCGACTATGTGATATGAATTATATTTTTTATTTTGCTTTTTATTCCTGAAAAATAATTTGGGCATAAACATTTTTCATGTTAATATTTTTAAATATTTCTTTTTAATACGGATTTATTATTATTTATTATAAAAATTGGAATGCCAGACGATTTAAGGAAATGTAATTTCTATTGTTAATTAAATATTATATATTAAATAGATGTAAAAAGATAAGATTAGAGTACTCTTACATATAAATTAAAAGAAAGAATATTAATATAATAGAATATAAGTATTCGTTTTATATTCTCGTCTAATAGAATGGTGAATTAAAAATATATAATGAAGCATTATAATCTTTCTCTCTTCAAGAGAAAATCAAGATTAAACGGACAAAATTTAAGATTTTAACAAATATGTCTTCAGGTTCTTTCGTATAAAATATAAATCAGAAATAAGATCGAGAGAAAATAAAATACACAATGATATACATAATGTGTATGTCTTTTTATTTTCGTGTCTCAATACTTGCATTCTCATCGTACATCTTGTCGAATCGGTTCATAGTACACTGTTTCTATAATATGTCGCAGCGCTTATTCGCGTGTGTTTTTAGTGCGTGTAATATCCGTCGCCCAGATGTTCTCTTCGATCTCTCATGTGGTAAAAAAGAGAATGAAAAAACATGTGAATGTCGCTCCACCATCCGCAGACTAGAAAACCGCAGAGCACTGGAAAAACAGTACTCTCGATCCTCGATGTTCCATAAAGATCGCAAAATGGACAATTAAAAATCGTCGTCGAACGAATATTTCTTAAACAGCGACGACTTTTTCCTTCTTTCTTCTTCCTTATTATCTTTCATTTAATAGACAGTCACGACGAATTGCGGGAACTAGCACTAGAGCACTACTAAGTGTGTGGAAACGCGCATAACTATGTATCATCTGTAACGAATATAATAGCGCGATTGCGACAAAAAAAAAAGAACGAAACGAGAGAATCGCGAACGGATGTTGCCACGAGAATATTTCTCGATTTTTCGAAATTACGTATTAAAAACAAAAAAAAGGAACAATTGAAATTAAAATACTGTCAAATACAATGCGCAAAATACGATGCAAGCTGCTCTATAATCTCCTTTTTATAGCCACTTTCTTTTATTGCCTCTCGCAAAAATCTGTTTCAATTTTCACATTTATAAAAAAAATTAGAAATTAATAAAAGAGAATTCAACAAATAAAATAAATTTACTTTTTTTTCCTAGGGATTTTAATTCTCTTCTCAAATGTGATATATATAAACTTTACTATAATTATACAGATTATACATATGTATAACATTATCTCAAACTAATTTCCTTTTATTAATTGATGCTAAAAAATATACGCTACAAAAAGGAGGTACACGCATGGATATCACAGCGCGAGCAACTTACATCATACATTAGACAGCGCTAATGGACTGTACCTACAACATGAGAATTTTTTTCTGAAGAATAGATAACGAGAATAAATCTATAGGAATTGATTCAAGACGATTATTTAACAGCATGGAACTTTTCCGCTCTTATATATTAATACTATGATATTAGAGTGATTATAATATTAATATATATAATACAGAAATGACTGAAGACCGCAATGGCATTAAATTATCGTCACAAATGATTCTCCAAATCGGTCTCTCTCGCAATTCATTCTCGGAATAAAATTCTTATGTCGTAGATACAAATTTCAGCGTGACGTCACGTAATACAGCGTGGCATCCGACGGGGGCTACGATGGAGGAGTGTAAACGAATACGAGGGGCGGGTGGATTTAGAGGCTGGCCTCGAGCTTGATTAGCTCGGCGATGCCGTCGTTCATCTCCTTCACAGCTTGGTACTCGGTAAGACCGAGGCGGCGCTTGTTGGAGATATCGTAGATGCCGCCTTCGGCCTCGGTATGCTCGCCCCGGGTGCCGCGCACCTGTAGATTGTACTTGGCCGCGACTTCCTCAAGCTTGGCCTTGTTCGCCGCGAGTTTCGGCACCTTGATATGCACCGAGGCGCGCACCGTCGTGCCCAAGTTCGTAGGGCAGAAGGTCAGGAAGCCGAAGCGATCGTTGTGCGAGAACGGCAGCCGCTTCTCGATCTCGTTTACCGCCGTCACCAAGCGTCGGTATACCTTTGAATAGACGCAAAATATTTTAAAATTTTTCAATAGTAAATCACGTTATAACATTGCTAAATTGAATTTGACGGTGACTCAGATCCTTCCGTTTTTTAACAAAGAATAATGATTATTTGATATTATTTAACATCTCAAAATTTAGCCAAAACAAACTTTTCATCAAATTATGAAATATTTTCTGGAATGTATGAATTTTTATAAATGTTTAATAGATAAATGTTTCATAGATGCTTTTAAATACTTTAATTTGTTAATTGGCCAACAATTATGATGGTCCCACAAGTAAAATATATAGAAAAAATTCATATATTGTGAAAAAAGGACAAAAATATATCTTTGTTTAATTTAAATTATCGTTTTTAAATAGTTTTTTACCTGTCCAAGATCACCACCCATCTGCATCGAAATGATACGGAGATGGTCTTCCTCGTTGACCCAGACCAAGAAGGTCTTGTCGTCGTTGTGAAAGATGCCGCGTCCAGTGGGCCAGAAACGACAAGCATTCGCCGCCTGGAGGAAACGATCGCCCTCTTTGAAGAGGAAATGATCGTCGATCAGCTTCTGTTGCACTTCCTTGCTCATGCCAGTGAGCGGATAAAAAGTGCCCTTCAATTCGCCGCCGAGACCAGATAACGTGCTAGATACTTTCTCTTCCATCTCCTTATACTGGGCCTCGGTCAGACACGGATTAAATGGATATCCGTCCAAGGAGCGGCCGCATCGCACGCGAGTCGACACGATGTACTCACCCTATAAGGAGCAAGAAACGGAAAGTTATAAAATTTGAAGATATTAATAAATAGTATATAATCTATTTTTTGTTTTTATATGAAATATAATCCAAATAATAAATGTCGAAAAAAACTTACAGTAGGGTCGAGGTTGCCGAAGGAATCGACATCGCCAAAGTCCTTGGGCGGATGTTTGTCCGTCTTCTTGAAGCCACCATGATAATCATCGATGATTGGATCAAAGATTTCGGCGAAAACTGTGTACGCCTCGGCATCGGGCGCATAAATACCGACGCCAGAATCATGGTTTTCGTAACCAGATTGGATAACATCCAGGAGAGTAGAACCGAACGAGGTCTTCCTGGTCTTGAGTTGATCGAAGACCTCCTTCGTTAAGTATTTCTTCAACAACGACTTGCTGTCGGATTCCGACAGCTTGGTAAAGCCAGACTCCAGCTTGTCCAAAACCGCTGCGTCTACCATGTTGTTACTCTTTTTACTGTAACAAAGTGTTGAGCGATTACATCAGATGCTACAGAAAAAATTCTTATTATAACAAGAATATAATAAAATTACGGAATTCAATTGAAGGACTCAAACCAATAAATAATCTTATATTACTCGTTTATTCTTTAATTTTATAAAATATATAAATATATATAAATATATATATTTTATATATAAATATATAAAATATATAAATTTTATATATAAATATATAAAATATATAAATTTTTTACAATTAATTTTTTTCAATCACTCCTTCAATTGATAATGTTATGTTTCTTCGCTTTATTCCTTGTAATTTTTTTACAGCGTGCAAAACATCGAGATAAATATGATGCTGTGAATGTTTAAGAGCCAGCCATCCTATATTATTTAATTATTAACGAGTATAAAGTATTTCAACATCTGTTGCATCTCGGCTTGAATATCCGGCATTAATCCGATTAAATCGGCACACAACTTTGGTCTGAATCATCTAATGACGCGATAATCAGCCGATCTTTTTACTTTCTCCAGCGACGTGTGATATTACTTACATACGTTTCTTATATTTCTTTCAATATCTAATTCACGTGGCTTGTAATTTCCTTGCCAGTGCAGCACGTGTGCCTCATTGTTGGTGCGCGGTGCACTTTATTTGTCTGTCCGTTGACTCTAGGATGCACTATAATAAATAAATTCAAAATTACACAATACACATAAATAAGACTCGACTCTCTTAATGCGATAGTGGTACAATTCGTTTCTTTTTCAGGAATTAGTTTAAAAAATCCGTATTTTTTATTTCAAAATAAAACTACCGATATTAACACGATGAAAACTCGAATATTAACAATTTTTCGACTAGGTATTCTGAAAAAGCACGAAGAGTATTCTCAATCGCATAATAATTTTTTGAATATTTCGCGAAGAAAAATGATTTCCAATATATTATATAATAAGAATAAACGTGTAATAAATTGATAAGCTCGTGAAAAAAATCGAACACGGTGTGCATCCTAAGGTCAAAGGCCAGAATGAGCCATACGTACACGTCATCGTCATCGACTTGGTTGTCGGCGACGTCGTCGGCGACGTTGTCGTCGACTTTATTGTCAACCTCGTCATCGACCTTGTCGTCGACCTTGCCGTCGTTCTTGTTAGTCTGTTCGACGGTTTGTTGGTCGTCCGTCGACTCGCATATACCCAGCGACGAGCATACGCCGCCCATCGCTCGTCAAAACGGCGACTTATGCGCCGATCGTCGCGTCGATTCGAACGAGAGGAGACGGATAGCTCATGCGAAATCCTTTACGAACGGGCCGAGTATGGTGTCGCATTAAACCGTCGACCTACGAGGACGATGTCGCGCAAATATCCGGAGACGTCGCGATAAACCGCGAGACCCAGCCTGGCAAGTTTGTTAGAGAATTACATGTAAAAGAGAGACGAGTATTCGGAAAGAGTCGCCGGCGCATTTCCGCTATTAGACTTCTATTAAGATTTCCATAAATGTTATAAACATATATATTAAAAATTCTTATTTTTAAATATTATTAATAATTTATTAATATCAGTATTAATGATTAATATGTATCCTTTTGTTCACTAGTAAATCATTAATAAATTACGCTAATATATTTTTCTATATCAATTAGATTCTTATTAAAATATTCATGGAAAAAATTAACAAATTTAATAGGTTTTATATTATTAATAATAATTTTAAATATTTTATATATATTAATATTTAATTAATTAATGAAAATACCCTAATATAATAAAATATTAATATTCTAATATTTTGACAATAAAACTGGGGAGATGAGAAAAAGAAACAATGAATGAAATAGAACAGGGATAGAGGGGGGCAGAGAGGGAGGATGATGAGAAAGAGAGAAGTAGAAGGCGAACTTTTTCATCACGCTGAAGATTTTCTCACAGATACGTACTCGTCGCTCGACGTGGTATCCTTCGAAGTACATCCGCCCATGTCGCTGCGATGACGAGGAGACTACGACGACAAAGACGACGCCCCTGATGAGCGAGAGACGAGGGAAGAGGAAATGAGAGATACAGAGAGAGAGAGAAAGAGTATAACGATCGAGCAAGAGGATCGAAAAAGTCTCCCTCTTAATGTTTAACCGTTCCTAAAGGCGTAAGTAAATCAGTCTTTCATCAGTATTCCGGCTTCCACACGCGACGTTGAAGCGGACCGGCGTTAGTTAAGTGCGCGTTTCCGGTGCTTGAAACGACAAACGCGCACGAGACAGAGACAGAGAGAAAGATAAACGCGGGTGTGGACGGAGAGTCGTCGCGACGAGTCCTCGTGGACGATGAATCCTTTCCGTCCGTGTCCCCTCGCTATCGGCGGTCACTGCACACTTTCCTCCTCTTTTCCCAGTCGCGAACAGCGAATCCTGATGAATCCCGACGAGTCCTCCGGTCCGGGGACGATCGCGGTAGGTCGAGGGTCAAAGGTCGCAGCCGGGAGACCTTTCTCTCGTATTTATTGCTCGGGCGTTTCGACGGCCCTCCTCTTCCTCTGCTACCTTGGTCCTCCTTCCGGCTCCCGCGTGTCTCGGCTCCTTTCCGAGCGGAATGTTCTACTAATGTGCGAGGTGATGGTGCTCGCGTTAATTATCCGCGTGAAGCCCTTATCTGTCGCGTTATAGGCGACACGTTCGCACACCGGCTGACTATTTCCCGATTCGAGGTTTTCCACGAGAGGGGAGATCTCTAGAGAGGGGATTCTTAATTCTTTTAAGCACTCGGATTCCAAAGAGAAGTGACAATTTTATAGATTTTATTTAAAAAACTTTAGATTTATTGGAAAATTAGGAAAAAAATTCTTTACAAAAGAAGAAAATATTTTATCTTTTTTTTATCGATCTATTATTATACGCAAAATTATTTTAATTATTAAACAAGGAGTATTAATATTGATATTTTAATATCTGGACGCGCAAATTGATGAGGGAAGGAGGTCGTAATGAAAATATCATTTCATAAATGTTTAAATATTATTTCTTTCAATCAGATAATTAAATGCCGCGACTACGACTTGAATATAAGTGAGATAATCGAATAATTAGCTTTGATGAAATATAAAAGAAAATTACTAGTCATTACAAAATTATAGAGATTTAAAACTCGCTAATTTATAATTATTATATTGAGAAATCATAAGAAATTAATTATATAAGAATTCTCCAAATAATAATTCTGTGGAGAAATGTAATCTTTAATAAAAATTGAGGCTTATTTCGTTAGAACTTAAACACGTATAATTGCACACTTTGAACGTGACAGGAGAAACGTTTTACTGAGAGCCGGCTACCGCATCAGGTCTCACGTATCCCTTGTCTAACGATTCCGATAGATTTAACGCATCACTCCAACTTCAAAGAGGAGATGATAAGTCGAATCTACGACATCTAGAATTTACGGGAAAAAAGCTGACAAATAACTTCAGCTATAGCTCGATTAATCTCACTTTTAGACATTCCATAGTACATGATACGCAGGTCAGAATTTTATCTCGGACAGATAGGTGGATAAGGAAAGCCACGAGGGAAAATTTCAGCCGGCGCGGGGGATGAAAGGTCGAGGTCTTGCCTCGCGTTCGGGGGAGGCGAGCCGCGACACCGGGTGTCGGAAGCGAAACGATACAAAACGGAAGCACCACCACCTCTACGCTAATTCGTCGATGAATCACGTCACGTTCCCGGCGAGCGGCTCTTCTCTCTTCCTTTCTCGCCTCGTTTCCGATTTTCGCCGGGCGCGCCCTTCGATCAAAAGCTCTCGTCGCGGGACGCGTGTACAAAATATATGTATACGTATATATAATACACACGTGTGTATGTGCGCGCGCGCGCGAGTGTGTATGTCGCGGTTAGTGGAAATTAGTGTGTGCGTGTCTGCCGACTAACTGACTAATTTGTGCGGATATATATGTATATATATGTATATACACATATATATATATCGAACTTTCCTTGAACGGTGACGAGAATTTTGGTTAGGTGTGTGGTGTGATGTGAACACTACAGTCTCTACGCTATCACTAAGCAGGAGGCATTCTGCGTGCCGCGGTCCGTCTCTCTCTTTCTCTCTCGCTCTCTCTTCCTCCGGCGTGTCGTCTCTGTCTCTCACGCGTCTCGCTCGCTCGCTCCTTCGTTCCGGAGCTCCCTACCCTCCGTTCAGGGTGGGGCACGTCGTCCGTCCAGAAGGATACCCGGTCGATAGCACGCACCTACACCCACCACACCGCGCTGTTACCCGAGCGGGGAAAGCCCGCTCGCTCTCACGCACGCGTGTGCGTGCGTGCGTGATGCGCCGGTGCGTTTTCGCTCTCTCGCGATTTTCGGATCTCGAATTTCCGCCTCCGTCGTCTCTCGTTTCGCAATTAAATGTATATATGCGATGGTAACCGTAATAAAATCCGGACGACGTAATGACGGAAGTGTACATAATATTGCGCTAATTGTCATGTAATTGTATTGTAAACGCGAAAATAGAATTCGGGGGCTGATTAATTCTTCAGGGAATCATTTAGGGATCCTGTGATTTTCGCTGAGCACGCCCCACGCGCGTAGTTGGTTTATCTGTCAAATCATGACTGATTAAGGTACGAATGTACGAGAGGCGTTTCATCATCTTTGATTCTCGAAAGATACAACGTTTGACAGATTTCAACACGAGGGATTAAATAGACACGTAGCTGCCAACGCAAAAGATTAAAGTTCTTTCAATTGTTGACCCTCCCCTCCTTAAAAACCAATTTAAACATCGTAAAGCGTGTGTAAAGACGATTTAACTTTTTATCATTTTTATTAACGGCTTGACGGTAGTCAGGCGTTACATAATGAAGAGAGGGAAAAAAGAGAAAAAGGAAAAATTAATTTAAAATCCCATACATCGGATTTTTGAAAAAATGCAATCGAAAATAAAATTTTAGCTTCCGTCGAGTTTTAATATTAATAGATTGCCATCTTCGTATGTGAAGTATCTTGAAATGAGATTCCGGAATATTTAATCAATCATTGACAATTTGATTGGAATAATCGAGATAATTAACGACGATAATATTAAATGAAGGAGATAATTCGATTACTTTCAAGCTCGCATTTTGAAGAAATAAATTTGAATCCGCGCGAGGTATCTCGCAATTTAAGAAAGTCTTGACATAGAATTAGAGCGGCAAAATGTCAGCGACCGGTATTTCGGCAATTTAAACGCGATTTATTCGGGCGCGACGAGAAGTCGCGAGAGGATATTAACGCGGCTGCTGCAATCGCATTCGTATTCGTAAAATCGATAGCATCGCTAGTGTGGAAGCCCACCCTCAGCGAATGATATAATTTGAGAGATTCCTCGATAGCGTTAACAATTTTGACGTTCAAAAGTTTCATAATTTCTTGCAATGTAATAACAGTCCTAAATTAATATAATGCAAAAATTGACATTATTTAAATATTCAGGATTTTTGTATTCCGCGAATTTTTCGAAATTTTATTGCGCGCGTTTCCAAAATTTTGAGAGATTATACGTGATTCTGTAAATATATATTATAGTATGTATTTATGTATAAAATTTGATCTCTCTCCAAATATTTAGACAATTCAGATTCAAGCCTTTATATGCGAATACGTGGCATTGCTGAATTGGTGTGGTGGGTGGTAAAATGGCCGATTATACCGACCGGATGGACGACGATGGAGGTGTGACACATCGTAAGATGTCATTTCATCCAATCAGCTGTGCATACGCCGGTACATGGAGCCTTTTATGCTCGCTTAAATACGGAATGACGCCTTTGCTAGATACATATTTTCGCATTATCACTGTGCTTTTGCAGCATTACATTACATACAATTTCGCTATAATTTCCTTGTTTAATCGTAAATTCGTAAATTCGTAAATTCTATAAAATTAACTTGTTATTTTAATCTTCAATTAAAATTTAAACTGACAATCTGGACTTTTGTTTAATGCCAAAAAATGTATAAAGATAAAATAAGTAAAGAATAAAAAGAGAGAAAATAATATAAAAATGGGATTACAGTCGGATTTAAATATAAAATGTTATTTAAATAGTTATTTTTTTACGATATTATTTAACATATTCATAAATTCTTCAATTTTATTTTTTGTAAATTATAAAAGATTTTCGTAATTATGCAAGAATATGTGTCATTCGTTGAAAATATTTAGCGCTAAAGATATGACTCGATCGGACTGCGCTAAAATGACAAGCTAGTCCTCCATTTTATCCGTTTACACAAATGTGTTATTCTTGCGAATTATCGTCGTTATTGTAGCTGGAAGGGAGAGGCGTTCAAAAGACTCGTTATATCATCTCGCGTCCACCACTTCACTGCCTGCCTCTTCAAGCTTCAGAGTATTCGTTCAAAAGATTTGTAGGGAGTATGAAAAAGGGCGACTAAAGTGTCGTCAAAGAAAGTGACTAGATGCTTACTTAATGCGAATCTTCTTCTGTCAAATGACGTTATTATAAGAGAGATTTTGATCAGAATTAAATTATCATTAATTTTGTGAGATGAACAAATTAATGCATTTGATATGTATTGTATTAACATGTATAGAATTATTTTTGTATTATATATACGCACACGTCATAATTATAATTATTTTTAAAAAAATATTTACTTAAATAAGTTACAAATTCGAGAAACAAGACAGGAAATTTAATTCTTTAGATTTATCTTTAGAGAGAAATGATATAACTTGTCTAGAGCCTCGATAAATAATTGCAATCTCGAATTTTAAGATCATGTTTCGCGAAAAGGTACACGCACACACACATATTCGAGCGCGATAAAATTATCACGACACCAGGTATTCGTTAGCACACGATAACGTTTCGTAAGTGCATCTTTGACGAATCAAGATAATGACGATGAACCTTCATCAAGACGTCGTAAATGACGACTCTTATTTTAATCGTACTTTTATCGTAATTATGTGACTTGCGTAATTTATTTCCTCTTGCAAAAGTGAAAAATCAATATTTAAAACGCACGAAACAATGAGAGATGAGACTGTAATTCAATGTCATATCATTGTAGTGTTTTATTTTTACCATATAATTATCTCTTGTAAATAATTAGACAAATTTCATCCCGAGATAAGAGCTCTAGATAGGAAAGACTCATTCCAAATTCCAATTTTTTGTTATCTTAAAAAAATTACATTGCAAATATTAATATTATTTCTCAATTAAATTGTAATTTTGATATAAAATTTACAAATATTTTTAATTTTTAAAAAATTTTTTAATATAATTTAATTTTTTAATATATGATAATAATAATAATAATAATAATAATATATATATATATATATATATATATATAATCATAAATAATAATATAATATTATAATAAATAAACATAATATTAAAATAATCAAAATATTCTCTCTCAAATAAATATTAATATATACTTATGAAAAATAATTAGAATTCAAATAACTTGTTTCATCGTCAATTTCTATATTCGAGGAACTTTTACATCGACTTTTCTCCTTCCTGTTATGATCTGATATGTTATTAAATAACAAGCAAGTAATAAAAGCAACGTAATCAATCGATAATCAAGGATTACTTATCGATTGCAAGGATAAGAACATTGATAAAATTTATCGCAACAATATTGCATTAAATTCGAAACTGGCGAGCAAACTACTACAATTGGTTACTGCTACATATTTATGCGAGATGCAAATCTCATGAAGCTGTTTGTGACACGATGTTTGCCCGGAGTATTAAGAGGATATAACTGTCACGATGACAGTTTGTAATATCAAATTATGTATGTTTTTACCGTGATGTTCATTGTAAAAAGCAAACGAACGATTAAATCTCGGATCGTTTAACTGCATCGTTAGCGCATTTAAACAATATATCTCGGTATAAAAATATTTCTTTAATATACAATTGTTTCAAATTTATTTTCTATAAATTCACTAGCGCATTTAAACAATATCTCTCGGCATATTTCTTTAACCTGCAATTGTCTCAAATTTATTTTCTATAAATTCGTTATTATATGCGTAACAATTGTCTGATAATGTAAGATTATTATCTAACGATCTTTCCTCTCCACGAAATTATTATAATATTTAACATTAATAATAATTTAAGATTATTATTAACAATTTTCACGAAATTCATAGTATTTAACATTTTATAATATTTTGTGTACACGAAAAATTATATATTTTCGATTTAAAATTTCTTAGAGGGGAACGATTCTATCCCCTCCTCTATCATTGACTGTTATATAACATTTGCCTGCGACGTGTTGCGATGACGAATACAGTCACCGGATGCGAGCGTTTCAGGGCAGTTCCGCTCAATTCCGTGAAGGAATGGAGCTGAATTATTGCGGATTCCGAACGAGCGTATGTTCGTTCATACTTCCGCGATAATCGCGAGCCTCCGTGTATAACACCGTAAAATTACATCGGCAAGTTAACGCGCCATTTGCGATACTCCGGCTCTGCTTTGCATAATCCTCCCACTTGAGCTTAGCATTCATTTGAGAGTATAACTGTGGTAATTGAGTAAGAGAATAAGGATAGAAAGGGAATATGCTTTTCAGTAATATTCATCGATATAATTCTCGAGAGCGATTTCCGTTAATATCTCCCTCGAATAAATTTTAATTGTCCGTTTAATCCACAATTTATAGACTCGTGAATTTCGTTAATCATTTGATTCAATTTAATTTACGAAACATTCGAAAATCGCGCAGAAAGACGAATATAAACTAACAATTTTTTTTTACATCAAGTAAATAAATGTCAAATGTGTGTTTTTACGAGAGATAAAATTTATTTTTAAAAGATCCGGGGGAAAAAATGAAGCTACCGTTCTCGTGGCTTGTCTTATTTTTAGAATCTCACCTACGCGAGATTACG